ACAAAAATTCTGGCCGTGCTTCTCCAGCTGGTAAAAACAGCTGACCAGACACTTTCTCCCACTGTCCCATGACAGATCTGTGAAATGTTCCACTGTCTGGTGAGTGTTTGTCATGTTCTGACCATAAATGATAGTTTAAAACAGCAGTTAACCACCCAGGAGCAAAAATCAGCCTTCAAACTTGCAAGAAATAATGATTTGACAATTTTGCAAGAAATTAATGATTTATGATGATATGTACCGATATGAACTTTTATTGTGATAAGATTTTTGGCCATATCGCCCAGCTCTACTTACACTACACACTGCATTCTTACACTAACATTGCATTCTTACACTATACACTGCATTCTTACACTACACACTGCATTCTTACACTACACACTGCATACTTACACTACACACTGCATTCTTACACTACACACTGCATTCTTACACTACACACTGCATTCTTATGCTATACATTGCATTCTTACACTACACACTGCATTCTTACACTACACACTGCATTCTTACACTATACATTGCATTCTTACACTACACACCGCATTCTTACACTACACACTGCATACTTACACTACACACTGCATTCTTACACTATACATTGCATTCTTACACTACACACTGCATTCTTACACTATACATTGCATTGTTACACTACACACTGCCTTCTTACACTATACATTGCATGCTTACACTACACACTGCATTCTTACACTACACACTGCATTCTTACACTACACCCTGCATTCTTACACTACACACTGCATTCTTATGCTATACACTACACTCTTACACTGTAGGCTACATTCTTACTCTATACATTGTATTCTTAAACTATACACTGTATTCTTACATTACACACTACAATCTATACACTGTATTCATACCCTACATTCCTTCACTGTTTACTATATTCTTATACTACACCCATTTATACTAGATTTCTTCTTTATAGTGTGTTCGTACACTATACGCTACTTTGTTAAACCATACACTGTATTCATGCACTACATTATCATTTTATAACCTTACAGTCTTTAATACACTACATTCTTACAGTATACTCTATGCATGGTCTAATTTGCCACTTGCCTGGCAGTTTTCAGTGTGGATATACTACTTGCACCAAATCTGGCTAGCCCAGTACCTTACGCAAGCACTCAATTTGAGACACAGCTTGAAACGCTTCTCATTCCCATATGAAGCTCTGAAGATCTGGAGATGAACCAAAAAGACCAAGCAAAAAAAACAGACTAACGCAGTCCAGAAACATATGTTGAACTGTTTTCGCTCAGACTGGATTTAATACCAATATAATAATCAATAAAGATAGCATCTCTATCAATGACTCTGCCATTTTTTAATGAACCTAAGATGGCCTGCAGACTCGCGCACACACACACACACACACACACACACATTCACATTGAACTTTGTGTCCAGATCCTGTATATGGGAAACGTGGTGTATTCGGAGTTAATGTGTGTTTCTCATGGCCTTGTGTGTGTTTTGGCTTCAAGGGAACCTTGGAAAGCTTCCATATCTCTATAACAGATACACACACAGTAGATTTCATATGGTCCACAGTAATATATGGTTTGCGGTGTGTTTATGAGAGGGTGAAGGTTTTGTGTGTGTGTGTGTGTGTGTGTGTGTGTGGGTGTGCGTAAGCATTTTCAGCACAGTAATGACCGACTTTGTAGTTAAACCCAGAGAAAAACAGCATTAACCTACAGCACTAACTTTTGTCGTGACTACTGTGTAATTTTCTGTCAAATATATGTTTCCTACTTTTTTCCGGACACTGAAAATGAGTAACTTAGAGGCCATTTTGACTAGAAATTAAACAAATAAAAGGGAAGACTGACTTTTGCACAGTACAGCATATACTAAAATACACTGTCACAGTCAGAACGAAGCCTTGTACCTACATTTTTGTCATTCTTCATTTTTTGACATGGCTTTAAAATGGGGGGCTTCTACCTGGACCACTTCGAATAATAAAGTGTTCTACTAACCTCTAATTAGAATTAAGGATGTTCTCCTTTAAAGTCACCACTTTGGAGATATATACACAAACAGCACTGAGAAATTTTATGTTTTTTTTTTTTTAAAGATATGCCCATTTTGAATTTGATGCCAGCAACGTGTTCCAAAAAAGTTGGAACAGGAGTGTCTTTACCGATGGGTTGCATCACCTCTTCTTTTACCAACACTCTGTAAGGGTTAAGGAACTCTGGAGGGCAACTGCTGTAGTTTTTTTTAAGTGAAATGTTTTGTTTTCCTTGTTTGATGTAGGATTTCAGCAGGTCTTGTGCTTTAATGCACCTCTACACCTTATAAACTGTGTGCTGATAACAAGCTGGGTGGTCCCTCATCTCTTTAGCCTGGAAGGCACGTCGTCCATGATTTTCACAAAGAATTCCAAATTTTGATTCACTGGAGCACAGGACACTTTTGCATTTCACCCCAGTTCATCTTAAATGAGTTCTGGCCCAGAGAAGGCGGCAGTGTTTCTGGATACTGTTTATATGTGGTTTCTTCCTTGCATGGTATAGTTTTAACTTGCATTTGTGGATGCAGCAGCGAACTGTGCTCACAGACAGTGGCTTTCAGATGTGTTTCTTAGCTCATGCAGTGATTCCCACTACAGAATCATGTCTGGATTTAATGCAGTGCTGCATGAGGGCCTGAAGATCACGGCCAGCTTATATTGGTTTTTGGCCTTGTCCCTTGGAAACAGAGATTTCTCTTGATTCTCTGAATCTTTTTTTTGTTTTTCCCCAATTCTCTCCCCAATTTAGTCATCTCCACTTCCACCCGCTAGTTAGGACTCCCCCAATCACACAATACTACCAGCGCTAGGAGGGTGAAGGCTAACACAGGCTTCCTCCGAGACCTGTGAAGCGTCACCGCATCTTTTCAAACTGCCACTGATGCAACGTCATTAGACAGCTGAACGTGCTCAGAGGAAAACGCCAACCACCAGATGTGTTACGTCAGCTAACAGACGCCTGTGCTGACTACCACTGCGCCAAGCGATGGGGGAAAGGGGGGGCCATCCTACCTAGCCAGAGAGCGAAGCCAATTGTGCTCTCTTGGGCCCCTGGCTATGGATGGCTGTAGCATCACCAGGGATCGAACTCACCATCTCCTGATAATACGGCCAACACTTGGTGAACCCCTCCCCATCTTTACTTCTGAAAGACTCAGCCTCTCTGGGATGCTCTTTTTATACCCAGGTATGTCATTAACCTGGTGCCAATTAACTTAATTAATTGTGAGATGTTCCACCAGGTGTTTTATTTAGCATCACACAACTTTATCAGTCTTTTGTTGCCCCCTTCCAAACTTTTTGGAAATATGTTGCTGCCATCAAATTCAAAATGGGCAAATATTTTTCAAAAAACAATGAAGTTTCTCAGTTTCAACATTTGATAATACAGGGTTTATTAATGATTTTCACATCACTGCATTGTTTTTATTTACAGTTCACGCAGCGTCCCGACTTTCTTTGGAAATAAGGTTGCGTGTGGATATACAGTATTCATACTATATATATTTACATGGTTAAGTTCTGAGCAGAAAGTAGAGATGCAATGAACTTCTAAGACTTCTGAGGTGTGGAAAAATATCCCTGCAGACTTTTTCTGCAAAAGTCTACTGAAACAACAATAAAATAATAAAGAGAAGGGTGGACCCACTAAATACAAACAATATAGATATTTTATTTAGTTGTTGAGGCTTTTGTGTAATTTCCTTTTCAATTCCTGTTTTCCTGAAACTGAAGAATGAATAACTTGTACTTACACAGTGTAAACATACCACACTGTGTAAACACAGGTAACACTTTTAGACAGAATACATTTACATGCCTGGCAAACACACACACACACACACACACACACACACACACACACACACACAGCTCATTAATCTTGTTCTTCTGACAGGTTTGTCAAACACTCAGTGGACTGTAGGAGCCACCTGCTTAAGCAGTGAGTGTCTGTGTGTATGCGTAAGTGTTGGGCAACACGTCTATGGTCACTGTTGGTTCATATTTCTCTCTCTGTCTCATTCTTTCTTTCTTTTTTTCTCTCATGCAGCTAACACACAGGATGGCTGGTGTCCTCGTGGCAGTAGAGGAGCTCCAGCAACCGGAAGGTCATGGGTTCAAACCCAGGACTAACTGAGCATACCTGGTTGTGCCTTTGGGCAAGACAATAAACGCTGTGCTGCTCCCAGACTGGGTTACGCAGCAAAATGACAAACTTCCCATGAAGGATAAATAAAGAACATAACACACTCACCGCGTCCTGGAAGCACAGGTATTCTCCTGAGCTCTGAGACACGGCCTGGTTTTTGGCAAATCCAACTGTAGAGGTAAAGAGAGATCATATTAAAGAAGCTGCTCAATAATCACTATTTCAGATCTCAGAACATTAGGAGAAATTTGTTCCACCAGAAATACTGGTAATTACAGTACTGAATATTTTATAGTACTCAATATTTTATAGTAGATACATAATAATTACAGTACTGAACATTTTACAGTAGTTACTGTATAATTTATAGTAGATACTCAATAATTTATAGTAGGTACAGAACAACTACAGTACTGAATAATTTATAGTAGTTACTGAATAATTTATAGTATACACTAAGTAATTTATACTAGATACTAATAAATTACAGCAGTTCCTATATAATTTATGATAGTTACTGAATAATCAATAGTAGACTCTGAAAGATGTATGGTATTCACTGAATTATGGATCGTATTTATTAAATAATTCATAGTAGTTACTTAATGATTTATAGCAACTACTGAATAATTTAGTCAGCAGTTAATGTTAAATTTAATAATAGTAAACAAAATATTTTAGTAGCTTTTAGTAGTTCTAACATAATGTATAGTAATTACTGAATAATTAATAGTAGACGCTGAATAATCTATGATCTGAATAATTTATAGCAGATAATGAATAATTTCAGCAGTTTCAGTGTAATTTACAGCCATTATTGAATAATTTATACTGAACAACTTATATAGATACGAAATAATTTTGAGTACTTGCTGAATGAGTTAGACTAGTTAGTAAATAATTTAGAGTAGTACAAATACCTCCTCTAGGTTTGTCAGAGTTATGGCCCGATATCACCACAGAAACGCCTCTCTTTTCCAGTTTTTCTCTCCAGCCCTCAACAATCTCTCTGGAGTTATCCTGAGAGAGACAGACAGAAAGAGACAGAGAGAGAAAAGAATAAAGATTAAAAGCACCTCTACTGGTCTACTGGCTATCTCCATCAGGGTAACACAATGAATCCATAACTGTAAAACACTATGCACACTATCAGCTTAACATCTGGACACATCTACTCATTTATATTACAGATATAAGTCACTGTAGACATGCATTACAGTAATTTCACCACAGCTGACTGGTGTTGTTAGGCACAAGGATAAGCAAAGTCATAGGCAACACAATACAACATGATAAAATGAACTAATATTCATCAAACAAATCTTACTTTATTATTTATAACAATCAAAGTAAACAATTACTGCCAAGCAATTAACAGTAGTCTATGGTTGCTAAGCAACATTACAGTTTAGGGAATTTATTACTCCATGAACAGCTGTAGCATTGCACAGCAGCTTTAAATGTGGCTCAGCCAATCAGATTTTAGAACCAGAACTATGCATTGCAGAAAAATGTTTTTTTTTTAAGTTAAATGTCTTATCTTTGGAAATACACTGGTACATAAACATCAAGTAGAATTAAAATGCAAGTATTTCAGCCTAAACGTTTAGATTTAAATGTCTTTAATATGATAAAAATGTATATTCAATCAGACGTGTATAAATGTACCTGTATGAAAAAGGTCTACAGTAACAGTACATGAGTTTCTACAAGATTCCTACAACAATCTCAGAGTAAATTCAGACAATGTCTGTAGACTACAGGCCACTGCACAAGTACTATACACACTATGAGATACCAATACAGGAATATTACACAGAGAATACAATTCTAGGTTATTATTAAAGCATAATACAACAGTAAACAAATCTCACAGTGAGTGTGTTTACATGCCCCTAATAATCCGATAACTGCAGAAAATCAGATTTTGTCAGTAATCTGTTCAATGCGTTTACATGCAGTTGAATAATCAGATAATGGGAAACTCCAGGTCTACATGAGTCAGACAGTAATCCGATTTCTGCTTTACACCCAGCCAATAAACTCACAGAAGAAGACGTGACGTAAAACTCAATGTAAAACTCAAACTTCATGCTACGGCTTTCTTTTAAAACCACTTTACTTGAAATTATAAACATATATCATCTAGAAGATGAAGAATATTTAAATCCTAAATTTTGTTAAGCATGTAGTCGGTTTCAGCGTCGCTCCAAAAGTGTTTTGTTGTTATTTCGTGAGTGCTGTTTTAAATTCTGCTTGCTTATTTCCGTTACCCCAATCTGTTTTCGCACATACAGACTGAGAAAACCGAAAGAAATCAGAGTAAGAGTTTACATGCACTGAGAAATCTGATTACTGAGCTAAAATCCAGCTCTCTTTATCAGATTTCTTAGTCTAGACCTAGACTTAGACCTAGATTTCTAGACCTTACTCCAATCTAAGAAATCAGTGTGTTATTTACATGACCATTATAATCAGATAACTGCAGAAATCTGATTATGATCGGATTACTGAGTGGATGTAAACGCACTCACTGTCATGTAGGACTATTATGGATCTGTTTGTAAGTGCTGGACTGTATATTTGTAGGCAGATCAACAGCAAGACCACATGAGCCTGGCTGGGGGCTCAGTTACTGCATTACAGTAATACTAGAAGTGGAAAACATCATGTCTGAAAGCTCCATCACATCACTGTAATTTGCTGAGTGTAATTAGTTCAGTCAGTCGGCTGTGTAGTGAAAGTGAATGATGCGTACTGTACTGGAGTCGTCATAAACCGAGAGCTCCATGGAACCCTTAAAGTCCTGATCCAGAACAGCCTGTAGACACTCATCCAGCCACTCAGCAGCATTATACACAGGAACAATCACTGACTGCAGAGAGAGAGAACAGAGGGAGAGAGGGAGAGACAAATAACAAATAGAACAAATAACAAAAATAAAAGCAGATTATACTCTTTATCAGAAAAACCAAATTACACACCAAATTAAAGTCAAATGTTATGAAATGTTTGATCAGAATCAACGATAACAAACAAAGGCAAACCCTAACGAAATACAGACTGAGTGACCATAAACTGGCCATTGAAATAGGAAGGCACAAAAAGCAGGCTGGACAGAGAGGACAGGATCTGCCCCCACTGCCCATCAGGAGAGACAGAAACAGAGACTCACTTCATTATTTCATTTTTTAAGTCTAAAACCATCAAAGACTCTTTTCTCACTAAACTTACTAACAAAATCCCCTCCTTCAAAATGAAGATCAGAGAAAACGTAACACAGAATTCCTTCAGTTATGTAATCGATATTTCTGATTCCTGATGTTCCGATGTATTACTTCATTTTTCACGTTTACCTTATTGTTTATTATTATTCATTTATTATTAGTAGTAGTATTTTTGTTCATATTCATATTCATGTCCATATTCATTTTATGATATGTATTATTTACACAATATTTACATGTATTACCGTATTAATAACTCAAATTTTACAGCTTTGGTTTAATATTTTTTTTTATATGAACGTCTTTTATTTTAAACACGAACTGTACAGCTTTGGTAACACAGGAGAGAGACAGAGAGAGAACAGAGAGAGACATAGAGAAGAGAGAGATGGAGGATAAAGAGACACATTCGGTGAAAGAAATAAAGAAACAAAGGAAGAAAGAAAGAAAGAAAGAAAGAAAGAAAGAAAGAAGTAGATATAAAAAGAAACAGATGATAGACACACAGAAAAATAGAGAAAGTAAGAGCAAGTGAGAGAAAAAGGAAAGAAAGAAAAAAGAAAGAAAGAAAGAAAGAAAGAAAGAAACAGGTAGTGAGAGAAAGCAAAAAACAATGGGAAGAGAAAAAGAAACAGAGAGTAAGATGGAGAGACAGAAAGGAGAGAGAGAGAGAGAGAGAGAGAGAGTAATACAGAGAACAGTGTTTCACAGAGAAGACATGTGATAGTCAAAACAAAGAACGACATCATCATATTTCCCAGAATGCCACTGACCACTTGTACGTTGGCGCCCTCTGCTGACTCCACCTCCACAGCGCCGTCCTCCCAGCAGCCCCTCCGGCACACGCGCTTCACCGCAGCACACGGACCCTCAGAGTCGCCCGCGTGTTTCAGAAAGCTGTTCATCACCAACAGCAGCTCAGATCAGCCTTTAACATCTCTAATAAACAGAAAGAATCAGAGAGAAACACAATGAGAGAAAACAGTGAGAGAAAAAGCAAGTAAGAGGAAAAGGACCATCACACAGCAGTGAAAGAGAAAATAAAAAAGAAAGAAAGAAGAAAAAAAAGAAAAAGAAAGAAAGAAAGAAAGAAAGAAAGAAACAAAGAAAGAAAGAATATAATAAATGAGTAAGGAAGGAAAGAAGACAGGAAAGAATGAGAAAAGAAAGGTGGAAAGAAGGAGAGAAGGAAGGTGAGAAGGAATGAAGGAAAGAAACAAGGAAAGAAAAAAGAAAGAAGAAAAATGGAAGAAAAGAAAAAAGGAAAGGAAAGAATGATAAAAGAAAGATGAAAAGACGGAAAGAAAGAAGGAGAGAAGGAGTGAAGGAAGGATAGACAGAAGAAGGATGGAAAGAAGAACAAATGAAGAAAGTAAGAAATAAGCAAAGAAAAAAGGTAAGAACAAAGGAAGGAAAAAAGGGAAAGAAAGAACCTTTTAGGCAAATAAAGGCCCGTCTCACAGTGGCTAATGTTAATGATCATGACTCCACCATCAGTAGAACACTGAGGATAAACCTTATCCCATCTGTGAAACATGGTGGTGGTAGTATCATGGTTTGGGCTTGTGTTGCCGAATCTGGGCCGGGACAGGTTGCCATCATTGATGGATCAATGAACTCTGAATTATACCAACAAATTCTACAGGAAAATATCAGGACATCTGTCCGTGAGCTAAGGGTCAAGAGAACATGGGTCATGCAGCGAGACAACGACCCTAAGCATGCAAGACATTCTACCAAAGAATGGAAGAATAAAATTTGTGTTTCGGAATGGCCAAGTCAAAGTCCTGTAGTAGTCAAGGAGACCCCTTGGGGGTGGGTTGGGGGGGTTGTTCCACAAACATCAGATCTGAGTCACATTAGGGCAAAAAAAATCAGATTTGTGCCACTTCAACCTGGTAATGTGAACTTATAGCATATGGGCTTATGTTATCTTGTAAACCTGAGAAATCCTGCTTTGAAATACCCCCTGGTTCCGGTCACCACCACTGTAAAGAATTCCTAATCAATCATTTTTGCAGCAATTAACCATTTCAAACCAAACCACTCCGAACGACTTTAACAGAAACATGCAGAGGTTTTGGAAAATGGGTGGAATTCCCCTTTACTTATGCACGTCTCCTATTAGAGACACGTGTTCAGTGTTTACCTCGTGTTCACTCACGTGTTTAGGACTTACTCGCGGGTCGGTAGTGCAAACGGGGCGGAGGAGGGCTCCTTTTCGAGTTTGCCGTTCCACCTTAAATCATCACAAAGTGCAGCAGTTACATTCTGGCGTCTCCATTTAAGGTGGAACGGCAGATTCGAATAAGGAGTCAACTTCAGCTTCGTTAATTCATAACGATCACAGACTGAGGCAGAGCTCGCGGAGCCGCGACTCCCGGTACAACTCCGCCCCATTTCCGCCGAATAAAGACGCTGAATGTCAGACAGGTCAGTTAGCGTTACCGGTCAGACCAGCAGGTCAGTTACAGCCACTTCTACCGGCTCTTCCGCTGTGTGAAGTGTAGAAACCCGTTCAGTCCACTCAGTCCTGATACCACTCTGACCTGCAATACAACGGCTCCCTCACTTCCGTGTTTGGGTGGGGAAAAGCCCTCATTGGCCAATGGAAAACGCGGACGCGTGTATGATTGGTCAGAATTACCGTCAGTGGAAAGGCATTGGTTGGATTGGATGAACGCAGTTAGTGACATTTAGAGGTGGGTGGAGGAGCCGAGAGACACACTACAGTAAAAGTCTCCTGACTGAAATGAAATTAAAAAATAAATAATAATAATAATAATAATAATAATAATAATAATAATAATAAAAACAACCAGCATCTATCAGCATAGGAAGTAAAGTTGGTTAGGCTTTATTTATTTCTCTTTTAGGGTCTTTTTGGACTAAAACAAAACTCCAAAGTGAGAGGTGTGAGCAGTGGTAAAGCTGTGCAGCTGCTATACCAACATGACATTAAATCACACAGTAACAGTGGTACTAAGTGGTAAAATCATTTTAGATGTACTTCAACCTACCACAGTGTGCTTTTTGCAACACGTGTATCATCCACTTTATGTGACTGAAGTTAAGTTTGACTAAATTGTAATTAAAATGTGTGTCTGCATAAATTATAAAACCAGTTGCGTCAGTAATCCCTGAATCTTTACTGAGCTTTAATAAACTGCCATTGATAAAGTGTTCGACACAGCACACGGTGGACTTGTGTCATGTTGAGTGTTTGTAGGAGTCTACAGGTATGAAAGCTCTACATTTATTTGGTCCATCCTAACAAATTTCAAAGCTCATTAAGTGATCACCATAACATTTTTTTTTGTATTTTTACATTGTAAAAATGCCATTTTAAGTAATTAAAATCGTGTCTCAGCGATGTTCTCTCACACAGTACAGGACTGAGGTGAATACTGAAAACAGATTCTGATGTTAGCAAGCTAACTCTGGGTCATTTCAACAGCACTATGGTGATATAACTAGTTTTGGTTTGGCCTGGGAGTTTTCACATAGCTTAACAATTATTACCATGTGAGAACTAATGAAAGAAAAAACAGAGAGAGAAAAAGAAAGTAAGAGGCAGGGGCAGAGATCACCATAACTTAGCACTGAAAGAAAGAAAGAAAGAAAGAAAGAAAGAAAGAAAGAAAGAAAGAAAGAAAGAAAGAGAAATGACAGATGGAAAGAAGGAGAATGGAAGGAAGGTTGAATGGAAGAAAAGAAAAAAAAGAAGGAAAGAATGAGAAAAAAGATGGAAAGAAGGAAAAAAGGAAGGAGAGAAGAAATAAAGGAAATAAAGAAGGAAAGAACGAGAAAAGATGGAAGAAGGAAAAAAGAAGGAAGAAAAATAAAGAAAAGGAAAGAAAGAAAAGAAAGAAGGAAAGATGAGAAAAAGATGGAAGAAGGAAAAGGAGAGGAAAAAAAAGGAAAGAAAGAAGGAAAGAACGAGAAAAGATGGAAAGAAGGAAAAAAGAAAGGAAAGAAAAAATAAAAGAAAAAGGAAAGAAAGAAGAAAGAAAGAAAGAAGGAGGAAAATTAAAAAGGAAAGAAGGAAAGAAAGTAAGAATGATGGAAGGAAAGAAAGAAGCAAACATTTTACAAGCTCTTCAATCATGGACCATCACAGTCATTTCAGGAAATGTTTAATTTTTGTTTACAATATCTCAGTTACATTCAGAGTTTTTGATGACAAAAATGCTTTAACACTTAAATTTACCTGCGGGAACAGAAACTGCCAGTAATATATCACAAATGTCTACAATTGTTTACATTAAAATGATGCATTTATGCACATATTTTGTGTGATCCTTCTACAACAAACACGATAAATCAGGGGATAAATTACTACTCTTGAGCAGGACATCTGGTGGTGGGTGGTGGATCCCCACACTCAGTTTGATCCACACCCAGTTTATCAATACTGTACGCACAACTGACACACTGACAAACACACCGTTAGTTTTTACATTGCATCATTCCTGCAGTGCTTAATCACAGCCCTGAAAAAGGCTGTGAACTTATTAAACAAATGAATTAATTAAATTTTCTATACTCATTGTTTTGTTAAAACTTGTGAAGGGAGAGACAGAATCTTCATTGAATTCACAGAGTTTGTGCTGTCATAATAAAAGTATGGATACATTTTCTTTGTGAATCTGCGTTTGAAGGTGTGTAAGACTTTGTTATTTTCTTTTGAGAAGAAAATCACCTGACCTGTCTCCCAATTTAATGTCACTCGGATTGTCTTGATGGTTTGTGCCTTTGCAACTACTTCACTGGACTTAATAGCAGTTTGAGCATAAATTGCATCTTTTTCCCTGCATGTACAACAAAACCCGTTTTCTGGGACTGCCACACAACATTCTTTTCTGCTGACGGACTCTTCAGCCACTCCTACAACCCACTCTTCACCATCTCCAACCTCCACCTCCCAGCTGTGAGTTCCTGAGGAGAACCATTCAGAACCCAGAACTCCATTATACCCACTCATCCTCTCTGGATTGTCTGGAAGTTGAGGGTTTTCGGTAGAGTGTGAGACACTGCTCAGATCTGCTGATAGACTGAGGGAGGGGTTTGCAGTGTTCGGATCCAGAATCACTGGAACTGCAGAAAGCAGAACAATTTTAATTTTGGACATCATTTATAAGAATAACATTGTGCAATGTGAATCAGAGTTAGAACTTTGCTAGTTGTGAGTACAAACAAATGATGGGTGAATAATGTTTTGGTTTCATTACCAATTTTACTTTATTTAGTTCATTTCAGAAACCTAATTGAAAGTAATATTATGCTGATGTCTCTGTGCCGTTACGTTGCATTTACTGAACACAGCCATATTAAGCCAGTGGGCTTATACTTCAATAGCCGTAGTCTTTAGCAGCCTAAAGACCAGGCTACAGTATCAGAAAGCAGCAAGTGATATTCACACATGCACAAAATAGTTTTTTTTAGATCATCAGAGCTGCTGGTGCAGTCATCCATGCCATTTCGCTATCATGGTTTTCCTCCAGACTTGCTCTAGAATTGGGAGGCTTTATTAATTGGAGAGTGGAGACATAGAGCAGGCCAAATGCCCCCCATACATGGCACTCATGGCTGTGATATGTTGCCACCTACTGGATATCAGTGGGTATCTACACCCAAATAGATCACTTTATTAATCCCAAAGGGAAAGTCATCTATTACAGCAGCACAAAGTAAATATATAAAATAAAATATACTATAGCAACCGTGAAATATAATGTGCAGTACAAAGATAAGTAAGTACCATCGCATAAATATTACGCAGGTGACAATGTAATGGTGCATGTCCCATCCAGTGAATGAACCAGGTGACTATGCACTGTAATATGTTAAATGCTAACATATGTTAACAGTTGTGCAATATGCCTTGGTGTATAAACAAGTGGCAGAGCTATATAGAATATCACTGATGTATAATCAAAGTGGCAGTGCAATATGCAATATATATGGACGTATAAACAAAGTGGCAGTGCAAAGTAATAAGAGTGGAGAGATATAATGTCCAGCTGGTGTTCAGTGAGCCTGTCCTGTCAGTGGTTCAGTATACAATAATATCCTGGCACAGTGACAAGGTGTTGTACAGTGCGATCGCTGTTGGTACAAATGATCTACTGTAACGTCCCTCACTACAGTGGAACTGAATGTCTGTTGCTGAAGGTGCTCAGCTGTCTGGCGAGTAGGTCATGGAGAGGATATGCTGCCCTCTGGATCCCATCCCATCCACATTGCTCCAGTCAATCTCCATGGACCTACTACCCTTCGACACTCTTCTCATAAAAAACTCCTTGTTATCAGGTCAGGTTCCATCAGCATTCATGACTGCAAGGGTAGTTCCCATCCTGAAGAGGCCATGCGTGACAGGTCTGATGTAAGCAACTACAGACTGGTATCACAAACTTCTTTCCTCTCAGAAATTCTTGAACATGACCCCAACCAGTCTGGTTTCAAATTGGCGCACTCAACAGAAACTACTCTCATAGCAGTGCCTGAGAAGCTCCAGACAACAAGATCAGTCAAACTGTCATTGGTTCTGATTCTTCTTGACCTATCTGCAGCTTTCGACACACTCAATCCTCCTATCTGTCTATTCCAACCTTGGAATCACTGGGTCCACATGGAAGTAGTTTGAGTCCTATCTGGAGGGTCGCTCTTATCAGGTAACACGGAGAAGGTCCATATCCTCTCCCTGCAGGCTCAGCACCAGTGTCCCACAAGGCTTGGTGCTGGGTCCTCTTCTCTTTTCACTTTACACTCATTCTCTGGGTGATGTAATATCCTCTCATGGCTTCTCTTATCGCTGCTATGCTGATGACACTCAACTAATACTTTCCTTTCCACCTTCTGATACCCAGGCATCTCCGCATGTCTGACTGACATCTCTTCATAGACGGCAGCTCATCACCTGAAGCTCAATCCTAGCAAGACTGAGCTGCTATTCATCCCTGCAACTACAGGTCCTCATCATGATCTCGCCATTTCATTCGAGAACTCTTTGGTCGTTCCGTCTGAAGACGAAGAAGTCTCAGTGTGATTCTGGATGACCGGCTATCGTTCTCACACACACACACACACACACACACACACACACAATTAGTTTCTCTTCTTTCTATAAGACAGAAAACAGCCACATAAAAAAACTATTATAGAAATATGTTTACCTTTCACATGTTGTCTGGATGTCCTGTAAATAAAATCATAAAATGTTTGCTATTAAGTTATTCCAGGTTATTCATATTCATAACAGCTGTTATGATGTTTTTACCTGCAGAACCAGAGCATCATCCTTTAGCTTCTCCTCTGATTCTGCAATTCTAGCACTGATATCTTTTATCTGACTGTCCAGTTCTTCAGTCTTCTTCTTCATTCTCTGGCTCTTCTCCTTCTCCTCCTTTCTCAGAGCAGTGATTCTGGCCTCCTCCTCCACTTTGAGGAACTGATGAAGCTTCTCAAACTCCTCCTTTATCTGCCTCTCTGTGTTCTGGGCCTGAGACTGGCAGCAGGACAATAAAATTTGTTTTTTATTATTATTTATTTGTGTTGTTAGCAGGTCTAAAATGACTGGTTTCATATGAAGACTGTTGTTGACCCACCTTAATATGTGCAGCTGCCTGGTCACTGAAAACTTTAACTTTTTGGAAAATCTGAAGCTTCTTCTCCAGCTCTGTTAGACAGGTCTGTATCTTTTCCTAACAAGACAAATAGTATTGAACTGGTACAATAACACTGTGTATAATTTGGTTAAGTGACCAGATATTCAGGAAGCACCCATGAAATCAAGCTGTGGTGAAAAAAAAACATGCAAATCATTCTTTTAAAAAAACTGGTTTTGCTAGTCAGATCATTTTTTACAACATGCTTTATCAATGTCATTTCATTGGGTATGTGTGTAACTAACCTAAAATTAGGCCTGAATTGTTATGTGTGATACTTTATGGTGGAAATGAATCAAACGTTCTGGGGTAAGATGAGCCAATGATTCAGTTGATCCTGGTATGATGCACTGGAATTAGATCTCTGATATATGAACAGCAAACTAGGTTAAGGCTTGTTATTCAATATTCCATCTATCAAATTTGTAAGCAATTTTTAAGAAGCCAAAAGAAAAAAAAAATAAATGTTTACTTTTCTTGCAAAAGACTGATTTGTTTGTTTTATGTTATAGCACTGAAAATCAGTATATTATTATATGCAATGTTTATATATTTGCTGCTTTTTATTCTTTGTAATCATTATCATATTCATCTTGTAAAATGTGCAAAAAACTCTTAGATTTTTTGGCTGTAGAAAAATAATTTAAACCATTTAGAATGAGTGAATATACTGTTAAATTATATTCAATATAGAAGAAAATTATTTCGAATTATGTTCAGGCTTTTTCTTGAGAAAGTCAGTGGCACAGTTTACCTGGACTAGGATCAACTTCCCCAAATCTGGAGCAAGCTGAACCCTTGATAATACATGCATTTTTATCATTTGAGTTGATATAAGACATTAAAATGGGGGCAGTCGTTTTACTTCTGGAAATACTCAAATATTACCTGTATCATTATTACTAGAAAACATTTCGTATACATTTCAATACATTACATTAAATAAATGGGCCTCAGTTTTGGGTATAAACATTTTGTGAAAACAAGACAATATAAACCAACATGTTTAGCTCTTCCATTCCATTATTGTCCTATAAGTCTGAAATGATGGATTGTCCTACCTGGAAAAAAATCATATCACAAAAAATAATAAATAAATAAATAATGGCAGAGAGAGTTTTTTGCTTTGCATGTTTTCTTTTTTAAATTAATTACATAGTTTAACATACACATTTTGAGATACAAGTCTCTTTCTGTGATATTTTCTTTAAATAGATCTTTATTTTGAAGATATCTTTTATTATTTTATTTATTATTATTTGTTTCTTGATTTTTCAAAATGTTTGCATAAGTAAATTGTTAAAATGTAAACAAAGTCATGAATTGTTCACAGTGGTGGTGGTGTGGTGGTTTACTGACTCTAAATGCTCCTTCACAGAAAGTTATTACATGACCTGGTTCTGAATACACTGCCTGATGTCTGAGACACTGTTTTATGATAGTTTTAAGGGGGTATATGAATAAAATGTATCTTTAAACCCATTAATGACAGAGAGTTATATGCAGGGTATTTTAAGGAAAAGTATTTCCCAAATAAAACTGAAAATCACTATTTAATAAAATAATATTAATAATCAATAATAAAAAGTAAATCACTATTTTACCATCATCATCATTACATATAATAACACAGAAGACTCATGTAGGTTCACTTTTGAGTTTGTAAATAAAATGGCTATAGTGTAGTAGACATGGCAAAAGAAATCTGAGTCAACCATTTCACACCAAACAACTCTGAATGACTGTCTGGAGAAATTTTGAAAACCATTTATATACTACCCGATTGGGGTTAGGACACTTTGCAAAATGTAAATTAAAAAAAATGCAATGATGTTCAAATAATTTGAACCCTATAGTTCATTGAAAATAGCACAAAGACAACAAATCAGATGTGGAAACTGAGAATTTTATTGTTTTTTTGAAAAATATTTGCCCATTTTGAATTTGATGCCAATAACACGTTCCAAAAAAGTTGGGAGGGGGACAACAAAAGGCTGGTAAAGTTATGTAATACTAAAAAAACACCTGGTGGTTAATTGGCAACAGGTCAGTGATATGACTGAGTATAAAAGAGCATCTCAGAGAGTCTTTCAGAAGTAAAGATGAGGAGGGTTTCACCACTCTGTGGTTCTTTCAAAGTTACTGGCTAAACCGACCGTCTGCGAGCTGCCTTGAGACGCCACATAAGTTCCACCCAATAGAGACTGTGTCTGTTCCCCAAATAAAACAAAATATCAAAAAGCCTCGAAAAGTTTGCTCTAGTAACTTGATTAATATCAGACCAGTTATACCAGTTTGCACTGACCGCACCTTCAGTCTAAAACTTGGACTGCTTAACATAAGATCCCTTAGATCTAAAGCCGTTGTTGTAAATGAAATTATTACCGATCATGATTTTGATGCTCTGTGCTTCACAGAAATGTGGATTAGACCCGATGACTACTTTAGTCTAAATGAAGCCCCCCACAGGCTACAGTTATGCGCATTGCCCTTGTTTAAGCGGCCGGGCTGGAGGTATAGCAACCATCCATACTAAAGCTTTAGGCGTGAGCCAGAAAGTAGGCTATACATTCTCTTCTTTTGAAGTTCTTTTTCTTAATATAAGTGACCAAGGAACAAATAAAAATTCTTTTACACTAATTACAATTTACAGGCCGCCAGGTCCGTATTCTCAGTTCTTACAGGAATTCTCTGAGTTTCTATCAAGTTTAATGATGTTGTCAAATAAAGTAATAGAGATTTTTATATCCACTTTGACAATCCTCAAGATGCACTAAGTAAAGTATTTATATCTATCTTAGACTCTGTAGGCTTCACTCAAAATATAAAGGGGCCCACTCATTATTGCAGCCACACTCTAGACTTAGTTCTGACCTTTGGTGTAGACAAAGATAACTAAGCCATTCTCCCCCAGAGCACAGCAGTCTCAGATCATTACCTAATCTCATATGAAATTCGCTTTAGTGGTAATGTATGTTCATCCACAGCTGGTAGCTTTATCAGAAACCTTCCACAATTATCAGCTTCTGTCAGCTGTCTGTCTAATCCTACCAAGTTAGATATTATGACCAAGCTCTTAGAGGATATTTTCGATCTACTCTAGATAGTGTGGCCCCATTAAAAAGTAAAATAGTAAGGCAAAAAAAACTCGCCCCCTGGTATAATGACCACACTCAGGCTTTAAAACAGAACGCCACACAACTTGAGCGAAAATGGCGCCTGACTAAACTAGAAGTGTTCCAGTCCGCCTGGAAGGAGAGCCTTATAGACTATAGAAGAGCACTTGCTGCAGCACGCTCAGCGTATCTCTCCTCTCTCATAGAAAACAATAAAAATAATCCTGGATTACTATTTAGCACAATTTCTAAAATAACGGAGAACAAAACAGAACTGCAGATGCCATTAGCCTATAGCAGCAATGATTTTATGAATTTCTGTAGTGATAAAATTGAAAAAAAATTGGCAGAAAATTCAGAATACACAATTAAACTCTAGAAACCTGCTGCCTTATAATGTCAGTCTAAATCTTGAGAATATTATAATCCCTGCAGAGATGCTGGAATTGTTTACCTTACTTCAACAAACTGAACTAGTTAAACTAGTGAACCAGTTTCCTCCGCAAAATCTTCTACTTGTACATCAGATCTGATTCCTACAGGTTTACTAAAAGAAATATTGTCAGAAATAACCAAGCCTATTCTGTCAATAATAAACTCCTCTCTTAGCCTTGGGTACATCCCAAAACCCTTAAACTAGCAGTAATTAGACCGCTGATTAAGGAAGCTAACCTTGATCCTTGCAAACTGTCAAATTATAGACCCATCTCAAATCTCCCCTTTATATCTAAGATCTTGGAAAAAGTTGTAGCAAAACAATTAAGTTCCTATTTGCATAGGAATCATACACATGAAAAATTGGTTTGGTCCGGTTTTAGGCCACATCATAGTCCAGAGACAGCACTAGTAAAAATTGTAAACAATCTTTTATTATTCTCTGAGCAAGGAAATGCTCCTCGGTCTTAGTGTGGCATTTGACACGATAGACAACTCTATTTTACTAGATAGACTAGAAAACCTTGTAGGGGTAAGAGGAATAGCTGTTTCCTGGTTCAGGTCCTACCTCACTGATCGCTATCAGTTTGTTAATGTAAACGGTGAATCATCTGTTCTTGCAAAAGTAAAGTATGGTGTTCCACAAGGCTCTGTTTTAGGACCTGTATTATTCACATTATATATGCTACCACTGGGCACCATTATCAGTAAACACGGCATCAATCTGCACTGCTATGCCGATGACACAGAGTTATATATATATATATATCAAGCAAACTGGATGATAAAATTAAACTTACCAAGATTGAAGACTGTATAAAAGACATAAAAGACTGGATGTCGAGTAACTTTCTCCTTCTAAACTCAGATAAAACAGAGGTTCTGCTTCTTGGTCCAAAAGCAGCTAAAAACAAACTGTCTAATTTAACACTTAAACTTAACAATTTCACAGTTGCGTCTGGCTCATCTGTAAAAAGCTTGGTGTCATTATAGACCCTGATCTGTCCTTCGACACACATATAACTAATATTACTAGAATAGCCTTCCTGCATCTCCGCAATATTGCTAAATTGAGAAATGCATTCTCTCTACAGGATGCAGAAAAGTTAGTTCATGCATTTATTACTTCAAGGCTAGATTACTGTAATGCCCTGCTGGCTGGATGTCCCAGCAAAAGCATTAACAAGCTTCAGCTAGTCCAGAACGCTGCAGCCAGAGTTCTTAATAGAACCCGAAAGTTCGACCATATCAGCCCAGTTTTATCAACCTTACACTGGTTACCTGTTAAATTTGGCCTCGATTACAAAATTCTCTTACTGACTTATAAAGCACTAAACGGACTCGCCGATCAGTACCTGAGTGAACTTCTCTCTCACTATGAACCATCACGCCTACTTAGATCACAAGGTGCTGCTCACTATTAGTACCTAGAATTGACAAATTTACATAAGGGTGGAGAGCTTTCTCATACAGAGCCCCCGCAGCTTTGGAGTAATCTTCCAGTCAGTGTTCGGGACTCAGACACAGCCTCTGTGTTTAAGTCTAGGCTAAAAACTTAATTGTTTAGTCGAGCCTTTGGTAATTAGTTTTCCCTGTTAGATAAAAGGTGCAGATCTGGGGGTTCATGGTCATAGAGTATTCTGGTAAACTGGGAGTGTTGGTGCCGTCATCCTGCTGCTCTCACATGTTTACTCAGGTTTGCTGATGGTGGAGCGGAGGGGTGCTGACATCTCAGGGAGGCCTCATGTTTCTGTTACCTTTCTGGTTTCTCCCTTTTAGTTGAGCTGTAATAACTAGACCTGCCGGAGTCTCTGCTGCTCTGCTAACACTGTAATCTGTAATCAGTCACCCGATTACAGAACTGACTCTCTGTGTGTTTCCTTTCTTTGCCGATTTGAACAGCTGTGCGTCTGATGCTGTTGCTTCTTCTGCTTTGATCGGGTGCCACTGCTCGCCAGCCTTCTGGACCGGCTTGACCACCATCGAGCTTCATGCTGTACAACGCTGTGCAAACCTCACCCTCATGAATTGACCCTTCTGATGATGCTGCTGCATAAAATAAAACTAATCTAATTAACCATTGCTCCGCCTGTTTTCCCCATTTTACATACATACATACATACATCATCTAAACCGCTTATCCTTCTGGGTCGCGGTGGGATGCTGGAGCCTATCCCAGCTGTCATTGGGCGGAAGGCAGGATACACCCTGGACAGGTCGCCAGTCCATCGCAGGGCAGTTTTCCCCATTTTATATTATAATATTTTATACTAATACTGTTTGCTATCTGATGTCGACCAGAGGAGGATGGGTTCCCCTTTTGAGTCTTGGTTCCTCTCAAGGTTTCTTCCTCTTGCTCTTAGGGAGTTTTTCCTTATCACTGTCGCCACTGGCGATGCTCATGGGGGCTCGGTCCTGGATTTTTCTGTAAAACTGCTTTGTGACAACACCTATTGTAAAAAGCTCTATTTAAATAAACTTTGACTTGACTTGATTTGTCTGAAAGACTGCACAGGCAAATAGTGCAACAATTCAAGAATAACGTTTCTCAACATAAAATAGCAAAGAACTTTTTCTTTTAATTATCAACGGTACATAATGTCATTAAAAGATTCAGCGAATCTGGAGAAATCTCTGTATGTAAGGGACAAGGCCAAAAACCAAAAACTAATATTGGCTGGCCATGATCTTGGGCCCTCAGGCGACACTGCATTAAAAACAGACATGATTCTGCAGTGGAAATCACTGCATGGGCTCAGAAGCACTTCTGTGCAAACAGTTCGTAGTTGCATCCACAAATGCAAGTTAAAACTCTCAAATGCAAAAAAGAGATCATATATAAACAGGGTCCAGAAACACTGCCACCTTCTCTGGGCCCAAGCTCATTTAAATTGGACTGAGGGGAAGTGGAAAAGTGTCCTGTGGTCCGATGAATCAATATTTGAAATTCTTTTTTGAAATCATGGGCACTGTGTCCTCTGGGATGAAGACCACTCTTGTTATCAGTGTACAGTTCAAAAGCCAGTATTTATGATGGTATAGGAGTGCATCAGTGCACACAGCATGGGCGACTGGCATATCTGTGAAGGCACCATTAATGCTGAACGATATGTACATGTTTTGGCAACATATGCTGCCATCCAGATGACGTCTCTGCCAGAGAAGGCCTTGCTTATTTCAGCACTACAATGCCAAACTGCATTCTGAACGTATTGCAACAGCATGGCTTCATATTAAAAGAGTCCTAGTGCTAAACTGGCCTGCCTGCAGTCCAGACTTGTCACCCACTGAAACACCCCAAACTGTTGAGCAGCTGAAATCCTATATCAAGCAAGAATGGGAAAACATTTCACTTTCAAAACTACAGCAGTGTCTCCTCAGTTCCCAAATGCTTACAGAGTGTTGTTAAAAAAATATGTGATGAAACACAGTGGTAAACAGGCCTCCATCCCAACTTTTTTGGAACGTGTTGTTGGCATCAAATTTAAAATGAGCATATATTTTTCAAAAAACAATACAATTTTTCAGTTTCAACATTTGATATGTAGTATCTTTGTAGTATTTTAATTAAAAAATATGGTTTACATGATTTGCACATCTTTGCGTTCTATTTTTATTTACATTCTACACAGCATCGCAACTTTTTTGGAAATGGGCTTGTATATAAATCAAAACGAACCCCATTCTCTCCTACCTTGTGTGGACCAGCAGCTTTGATGATGGAGCAGAAACTGTGACTCTGATGATCCTGAGACACACACTGTCCACACACCAGCTTCTGATCATCCACACAGAACAGACTGAGCTTCTCAAAGTGCAGAGAGCACAGCAGACCCTGAGAACCTGAATCACTGCTTCTCTTCTGCTGCTTGTAGGACTCACAGGCGTTCCTCAGAGCCAGATCTGGAGGAGGATGATCTCTAGATGACCGTCTCCTGCAGACAGGACACACTCTTCCTGAACTCTCCGTCCAGCTCTGCTGTAAACACGTCCTACAGAAGCTGTGACCGCAGGACAGAAACACTGGGTCGGTGAAGATCTCCAGACAGACGGGACATGAGAGGTCCTAGTGCAGCGACGCCATTACAGCTGAATTGAAACTGAAAGTGAAGAAGCAGACAGTGAGACTGAGGCTTTGCAGCTGTGAAACTCACTGTCCACAGTCAGGTAAAAAGGTACTGCTGCTGGAGTTATTGTTGCTTTGACTAATTGTGACTAAGGAAGGTGGGTTCACAATGTGTTGAAGTGTCCACCCTCCATGGACGTCATGTCCTCCCGCATTACCCCTTCCCATGCTATGTCTTGTGCTCCAACAAAACAATATGTACTACACCTCTTCTATTGGTAACTATAAAAACTGCTGGCCAGTAGTGATAGGTTTTTAAACTTAATTTCAAAAGATTTTGAATGGTTGACCATATCGCACCAAAACAGTTTGTATTTAAACAAGTGCAACCTACATGGCGTACTACACCTCTTATATTAGCAAATATAATTTCTGCTGAATTCTAACAGCAGTTTTTGATAAAGTAATTACAATTTTGAATTTAAATAAGTTACCCCAAATTAAGCTGTACTTAAGTACCACCCACATGACAACTATTCAAAACTATTACAATTATTTCAATACTAGATCACCAGAATTTAAAATCATCAATAGAATAGGTGTAGCATGTCTTGTACATTGTACTTGACTAAATACAACTAGTTTTGGAGAGATATTGTCAAACATTCAAAATCTATTGAAATTGGTTAACAAAAACAAATCACCACAGGCCAGCAGAGGTTAAAGTTACCAATACAAGAGATGTAGTGGGTTACACTTGATTAATTACAACTTGTTTTGGAGCAAAATTGTCAAATGTTAAAATGTATTGAAAGTAATTCACTTAAACCTGTCACCGGAATTTGGCAGAAGTTACATTAGCTTATATAATAATATATTCTTTACAGACAGGTGATAAAGCCTGTCTGTAAAGTAATAGTAATAGAAAAACTAGGAGTATTCATTTAAATCCATATAAGACAATGAAACAGATTAAACTAAAAAGATAAATACCATGACACATCGAATTTTAACTGAATAGTAAGTTAAAGAGATAAATGTTTAAATGTTTCTTAAAAGTGAGCTCTGAGCTTGGCTGTCTAATGAAAGGTGGAACTGAGTTTCACAGTTTAGAAGCAGAGTGAAACAGATCTCTTCACATTTTCTGAATTTTACAGAAGTTGTTTGCAGAAGGTCACTATCGGCAGATCTAAGATCACGTGTTGGAACATGAACAGACAGGCACTCTGAAATGTAAGCAGTGCTTTATGGTCATATAGATCCTAAGAGATAGAGGTAGCCAGTGCAGTGTTTTTCAAAACAAGAGTGATGTGATCTCTCTTTTTGTATTTGTTAGAATGCTGATGCATTTTGTATGAGTTGTACGGGATGTATTGTTTTCTTAGGAAGACCAGTAACAAAAGCATTACAGTAAACAACTCTGCTGTGCCAAATGCATGAACAAGTTTCTAAAGGCCGAACTTTAACGATATTTCTCAAATGATAAAAAGCTACTTTAGTGACTGCGTTTACATGCGGTATAAAACAGAGCTCAGAGTCTAAGATCACACCCAGGTTTCGTACTTTAGGTTTGGTATATGAATGCTGGAGCCTATCCATGGGACGTCAAAAATACTTATAAATAGTTTTTTTTTAATTCATTGTGTCCTTGTTTCTGTGCACTGTTATGTTGCAATGTTTAAAAGCTACTGCAAATGGGGTGGCCAAAAACTTTTACAAATGACTGTATGTCATGTGAAAAGATGTCATGCAATTCATTAACTGTATAGAAATTTATAGAAGTTATTAAGAATTATTTTTGTGTGCACCATGCAGAAAAATGACTGTAAAATAATTTCAGCAAGTGACTCCAACAACTTTGTAAATACAAGTCATGTCATATATTGGAGTGATTTATTTATTTATTTTTTTTGTTAACAGAAAAAAAAATTAATACAGCTTTTTTTTTTAATCTTTAACTGCTCATCATTTGTGAGCTGCTGCTTATTTAATCAAATAAAATGTGAAGTGCTTGGACCCCACAGACTGTCACCTGCATCTTTACTGTAATATAGTTTAAAACCCGTAGAAATCAAAGTGTCCTGTAGTTTTCAAAAGGCACACATTTCCAACCTAAACTAAGTTGTAGCTGCTTGTCTTGGGTGTCAAAAATGGTACTTTTCAAGCATTGGCCCTTTACAAGCACCATTTGAAAGCTATTGAAGAAAGAATTCTGAATATGCAAAAATGAAACTAACTTTACTGCAGTCAGATACACACAGAGCTGCGACTCCTGCTACTCTTAGTCACATTTCCAGTTCATAAAGACACAGAATGTACAAACAGGTTAGTTCATGTTACCTCTTAGATCAGGAGTTCAGTTATATCCAATTATATCCACTCTTGTGCTGTGTAACCTGTAAGAAACTTGAGAAGTTCCCTCAGTCCTGTCAGCAACTCTCATCTGCAAAACAACCTTCAGTGTTTGTACAAGGGAAACGGCGAGTGTGGTTGGCCAGTAGAAAACGTGGACGTGCATGTGATTGGTCAGAGCTACTGTCAGTTAAAAGGCATTGGTTGGTTTGGATAAATGTAGTTAGTGGGAGTGTCTCAAAGAGCTCCATAGTTCAGTAGTGGCAGAGCCAGTTAGTGGAGAAAGGTCTGACAGTAGAGCCACAGATATGTACCCGCAGTTTCACTTCAGCAGTCTCACTTCAGCAGTTTCACTTCAGCAGTTTCACTTCAGCAGTTTTACCTCAGCAGATTCATGCTATGAGTTTCAGGCCAGTGGAACACATGCACAGTAGGACAGCGCAGTTGTGCTATGTGAACAACGTTCTTATAGGAAAGTTGAGTGTTACGAGGGTTCCCATTTGTATTTCAACCAGCGGCTCCTCATTTATAACGTCTCTGTTGTAAACACGTGATGTAAGTGGACACATAAAAGCCACTTATTAAAGGTAACTACGTCATATGTCTTCATAACCCATTAGCTTACCCAGGACATATAAGCTGTAGTTTAAGTTATATTTGCCCTGTGAATGTCTACCCTGCTGAAAAGGACCTTTAGAAACTTTTAGGATTAAAACCTAATGTTTTTGCTTTCTAATGGGAATTGGCTTCGTGGTTTCCAACAGAGACCACAAGTTTCCTGTAGAACACCTTTAGATCCCAGATGATGGAGAAACCATCAAATGTATCTGGAATCAGCCACTGGTAACTTGTTAAACCATTAGGGTCCTTTGGACACTGTGATATCAACCCATTTAAAAAGCCAAAATACATTACAAAACCATCAGAAACCAAAAGAAAGACTTAATGGTTTCTATGTTTTTTTTCAGCAGGGATACATTCAAAAGACACAGTTTGTTTTAGCCTAAAGCTTAAAATATAAAGTGAGCCCAATGCAAATGTAGCACAAATTTTCCGGAAACCCACCTAAAATGACTGAAATGTTTAATAGCATAACACTCACTAAGAAAAACCAAAACTAGTGCAAAGCCGCAGATTTATGTGTCTAAGAGTGTATGTGTCTCCATGCATATTATTATGTGTTAAGAGTGTATGTGTCTCCATGCATATTACCATTCAGGAAGGGAACATCAGGATGAAAACCTAATGGTTTTGCTTTCTAATGGGAATTTTTGCATTAGGAAACTGTCAAATGTGCCTGGAATCAGCAATCGGTAACCGGTTAAACCATTAGGGTCTTTTACATTGTGATACCAACTCATTTAAAAAGTCAAAACACATTACAAAACGTAACAATAGAAGAACGCTTTTGGGTGCTATTTAGAACCCTTTCCAAAAATGTTCTGCACAGAACCATTTACAGCACATTCTTAATAACGCATTTATGATGCAAAGAACCTTTTCATCGTGCAAAGGGTTCTTTAAATGTTCATTGTCCTACATAGAACAAATGTCTTGGACTCTGTGTAAGCTTTGTATTTCTTTTGGTCCCTTTGTTGGATCCTTTTAATAAAATGTGTGGAGAATCCAAAGTGAGAAATGTGAACAACAGCAAAGTAGAGCAGGAGTAGAACCAACACAATAGAATGACATCAACCCCCAAGGCCACATAGACACATCCTCTCTCTCCTCTCTTCGAATGAACTTCACCCCCCTTTTAACACCCTAGCCCCGCCCCATCTGGTTAACCCAAACCATTCCTCAGGGCTAGTGAGGGGATACACAAAACAATAACCAAACAACTTCAGGATAATAAACACAATACAAATAATACACATAACAAGAAGCTTCCTCATACCGGTCATCATATTCATACCGGTCATCATATTCATTTACATACATACTTTTTCTGTCTTTCCTCACAGGTTCTCGGATCACACCTCCCCCTTCTACACACAGCCGTGGGCTCTACCGGCCAGTATAAGGGAAGCCCTGGAAGGCACCCGCGCTCCCCTGAGGATCAGGACAGGACAAGGTAAGTATTTCTTCTATGTACATTTTACTATAGTCTAGGTTTCAATCCAGTCATTTTCCCCCTTTTTATGCCCCAGTGTCCTTTCACAGTCTTGGTGATGGGACAGTTTTACTGACCCCCTCACAATGCTATTTACCAAAGTCACTTATAGTATAAACTACATAACCATATCACCCTGTAGCACTGTTTAAGTGCACTATTTTGGTGACAAATTTATGTATCCATATTGTATGATTGAACTTAGGTTTGACTACGTTGTAATTAAAATGTATAGCTGCAAAAAGTATAAATCCTCCAGCTGCCATAAACCTGAAAATCTGTGTTTGATGTGCTAAAAATGAATTGCCTTAAAACAGCATAAAACATTCTGTCCTTGATCCAGTTTACATAGTGCTTCAATTAAACTCCATCGTTTACTGAACTTCAGTGGAACTGCCCATGATAAAAATGTCTCCTGATGTCACACATAGTGGACTTGTCACACATAGTGGTAGTTGTAGGAGTCTCTACATTTAGTTTGTTCATCCCAGCAACTTTTAAATCTCACTAAGCGATCATCATAACTAACATGCCAATAAAATTGTCCACTTAAAATGCTAATTAGCTCTTGTATTTGGAACAATGACTTTTTTAACTAATTAAAATGGTGTTTCAGTGATGTTCTCTCAAACAGCACAGGACTAGGGTAAACACTGAAAACAGATTCTGGTGTTAGCAAGTTAAAACTGGGTCATTTTAACAGCTCTATGATGATATGAACTAAGCTAGTTTTGGTTTGACTTCAAATATCTTAGCAATTATAAACATGTGAGAACTAACAGTAACTGAAGGCTCTGATGAGTTGGTTGGATTCATTTAATAGGAACAGAAAAAAAAAGGCAAAGTTTAACAAGCTCTACAATCATGGGACACCACAGTTATTTCAGGCACTTTTAAAATTCTGTTTACAATATCTCAGTTACATTCAAAGGAGTTTTTGATGACAAAAATGCTTTAACAGTTAAATTTACCTATGTGAATAGAATTTGCCAGTCATATATTACAAATGTCAACAGTTGTTTTTTTGTCGTACAGCTTTAGTGGGAAAAAAAAGTGCCAAGACCTGAAATGCTGCAAAAACCTACTATACAATGATGCATTTATGCACATATTTAGTGTGATCCTCTTACAACAAACACAAACAAACACAATATATCAGGGGATAAATCAGTACTCTTAAGAGAGACATTTGGTGGTGGGTGGTGGATCCCTGGGTGTTGACTCATATCCAGTTTGTCAACTGTATACATATGACTGACACACTGACAAATACACTGTCAGTCTTTATATGGAATCGGTTCTGTAGTGTTTAATCATGGCTATGAAAAAGGCTGTGAATATACTAAACTGATTAATTAATGAAATGTGTATAGTCGTTATTTTAACACATTTGAAGGGAGAGACAGAATCTTCATCGAATTCAATGAGTTTGTGCTGTCATAATAAAAGTATGGATACATTTTCTTTGTGAATCTGTGTTTGAAGGTGTGTAAGACTGTGTTATTATCTTTTGAGAAGAAAAATCACCTGACCTGTCTCCCGATTTAATGTCACTCGGATTGTCTTGATGATGTGTGCCTCCACAATTGCTTCAATATAATTCACAGACATATTAACAGCAATCACATTGTTTTTCCTGCCTATACAATAGAAGCCGTTCTCTTGGACTGCCACACAGTATTCTTTTCTGATGACGGACTCTTCAGCCACTCCTATAACCCACTCTTCACCATCTCCAACCTCCACCTCCCAGCTGTGAGTTCCTGAGGAGAACCATTCAGAACCCAGAACTCCATTATACCCACTCATCCTCTCTGGATTGTCTGGAAGTTGAGGGTTTTCAGTAGAGTGAGAGATGCTGCTCAGATCTGCTGATAGACTGAGGGAGGGGTTTGCAGTGTTCGGATCCAGAATCACTGGAACTGCAGAAGAGCAGAACAATTTTATGTTGGACATCATTCATGGGAGGTCTTCTTACAATTCTAACATTTGGCAATGTAAATCACAGTTGGAACTTTGTTAGTTGTTGGTACATTTAATCTAATAAATCATGGGTGAATAATGTTTTGGATTCATTGCCTCTTTTACTTTTTAGTAAGTTTACTTTTTACTATTTAGTTCACTTCAGAAACCTAATTGAAAGTAATATTATGCTGGTGCCTCTGTACCGTCACGTTGCATTTCATGATTAGCCATACTAACCCAATAGGGTTATACAGAGGCTGCAACCAAAGGCCCCTGTGAGCCTGACAGTGAATGGAGTAATAGTGAAGGCAACTGGAAAATAATATGGAAAATACGCTTCTGTTTCACTCTGCATCTAACGTCAACTATGGTTGCTATGGTGTACAAGATGACTGCTAGATTACTGCTGGATGGTGGTTATGGCATTTGTGGTGGTTGCCAGGTGGTTGCTATGGTATCCCAAGTGATTGCTAGTAAGTATATTTGTATTTAATGTCTATTAATGTCAATGTAAGAGGCGTTGTGACATCATTTGTGGCAGGTTAGATACATTTTATTTTTTATTTTTTAATGTTCTGCAACTCGTTTCCTAGCGGGGGAAGTCATCTTTGAATGAGCATCTGAAGTCCAATCAGTGCAAAAATTACAAAAACACTATGTAGGTGTCGGATCTACAATCATGGAAAGATTTGGGGCTCTAGTTCAAAATCTGTAGGAGAAGAATGTGTTTAAAATTTCAGAGCAGAATAACAAGAAATGTAAAACGAAGTAAAGGTGGCTTTACACAGTAAGCAAGCTTACACTTGCTTACAACTTTATTTGCTTGAAAACTACATGAAATTCACCAGAAACCCAGCCTCAACAGTTGCAAATGTTTCTTGCAAACCAATTTCATGAAATGCATCATGTGATCACATCAAACCAGATCAATAAGAAATGAAGAGATGAAGGGTTTTATTGGATGGTTGAAAAGGAGACCTCCTCCCCCTACTGACTCAAGGCTGGTAGTTTTTCATTCGGTCAGTTTCTTAAGCCATGACAACAAACATGAGTGTTCAGTTAACACCAGCAGCTGTTTAAATGACCGATTTTTCCACCATGTATTCTTTGTTAGCCTTGGCTAGCTTTTTTAGATCACCAGAGCTGCTGTTGCAGTCCTTGATGCTTAATCCTACTGCTTTCACACTGTTCCATGCCATTTTACTGTGACAGCTTTCCTCTATTTGGGTTGGGATTGGGGAGGTTTTAGCATTTGGAAAGTGGAGAGGCAGAGCTGGTCAAATGCTCCCCATAGATGGCACCCACGGCTGTGATATGTTGCCACCTACTGGACATCAGTGGGTATCTACACCTAACACACATTAGAAATAGAAACATGGAAGTGTTTGTTACTCACAGTATGGACAGAGGTCCTTCATCCTCCTCAACACTCTGTATCTCAGATTCCCCAGGTGTTTGGCCACATCAATCAGAGCTCCTGAATCCAGTTTTGGATTTGGCCCTGTGTTCTGAGCTCTGAAAATACACACACACACACACACACACACACACACACACACACACACACAATTAGTTTCCCTTCTTTATCAAAATAGAAAATAACCACATATAAAAATCTATTATAAAGTTTACCTGTCATACATTCTCTGGATGTCCTGTAAAAAAGGTCATAAAGTGTTTACTATTAAGTTATTTCATGTTATTCATATTCATAACAGCTGTTATGATGTTTTTACCTGCAGAACCAGAGCATCATCCTTTAGCTTCTCCTCTGATTCTGCAATTCTAGCACTGATATCTTTTATCTGACTGCCCAGTTCTTCAATCTTCTTCTTCATTCTCTGGCTCTTCTCCTTCTCCTCCTTTCTCAGTGCAGCAATCCTGGCCTCCTCCTCCCTAATGAGGAACTGGTGAAGATTTACAAACTCCTTTTTTATCTGCCTCTCTGTGTTTTGGGCCTGAGACTGAGAGCAGGATGCTAAAAATATATTTCAGTGTTATTCATTTGTGTTTAGTATGGTTAAAATGTCTGGTTTTATGTAAAGATGGGTACTGACTCACCTTGATGTGTGCAGCCGCATGGTCACTGATGTCTTTAATTTTTTGGAAAATCTGAAGCTTCTTTTTCAAGTCTGTTAGACGAGTCTGTATCTTTTCCTAACAAGACACAACATATTGAACAGTTACACTAACATTGTAAAGAAACCTCTACAAGGTCTCTACAATTAACCATTTCACACTGAACCACTCTGAATCACTCTGCTTACATCTCAAACACTGAATTATGCAAAACCTTTGAAAACCATCACATGCTGCATGCAGAGGGGGAACATTTTAGAATTAACCATTTCTCTGAGAAAAATGTTTTGACTGCATCATACTCCACTGAGATACAGATATACTGAGATCAGAAAAGTCTCATTTAACCAGAAATATCAAACATATAAAATGTACATCAGAAAATGAAATGAACCCCATTCTCTCCTACCTTGTGTACACCAGCAGCTTTGCTGACGGAGCAGAAACTGTGACTCTGGTGATCCTGAGACACACACTGTCCACACACCAGCTTCTGATCATCCACACAGAACAGACTGAGCTTCTCAGAGTGCAGAGAGCACAGCAGACCCTGAGAACCTGAATCACTGCTTCTCTTCTGTTGTATGTAGGTCTCACAGGCGTTCCTCAGAGCCAGATCAGGAGGAGGATGATCTTTAGAAGACCGTCTCCAGCAGACAGGACACACTCTTCCTAAAGTCTTTGTCCAGCTCTGCTGTAAACATGTTCTACAGAAACTGTGACCACAGGACAGAACCACTGGGTTGGAAAAGATGCAAATACACACAGGACACAAGAGATCCTGTTCGAGTGGTGAGAGAGAGAACGCCATCGCTGAAATTCAGCTGGAGTAGCACCTGGAGTGCTGTGGGCGAACTCTGTACGAGGGCTGACTGTTCAAAGGTACAAATCCAAGAATCCAAAACTTATTTAAATCTTCCTGGATTAACTATGGAGAATAATAGACGCTGAAATTGAGCAGTTTTATTTATGTTTAATTTATATTATGCAAACAAAAACCCAAAAACTAGAGCAAAAAATCATGTTTTGCTTTAAGAAACTCCCAGTAATAAAAATGTGCTCATATCTGTTGGTTAATGTTCACAGGTGCACTGGGTTACAGCCAGTCAAAACCACTTTATGGAAACATTAAGAAAAAAACTCATCAAACTTTAACTTATTAAATTTAATTTAATATATGATGTGAACACTCACTCACAAGTCTACATGGAAAGAAACATCCCTTTGCATTAACGATGCTTCACATTAATATAAAGCATGCACTTTTTCTTGCTTATATACAGGAAATTGTTCAGTGGATGAACAAATGGACTTTGTATCAGAGGTTTTAATGCAGTTTCACAGGGCAATGTCAACATGTGTATGTAATCCAGGACTCCACCTACTAGAGCATGTTGATTATATTGTGACATCAGCATTTTTCTACCATGAGAAGTGCTCTTTTATTTACACCAGGAGAAAGGCAAATGAACAAATGAATACACTTTCACGATCAACCACCAAACCCACACTAACTAAATCCAAGCTCCACACAACAAAACCCAAAAAGCACATACACACACTTCGAAGTAAACCACAACACTTAATATCCCTTTTACGAGGGGAGCGGAAAACTGACTATACATATTTGATACATTATGAAACCAATCTAAGTCCATGAACGAGCAAGGGGCAGCACCCAAAGACACAAACACCAAAACAATCAAAGTACAAGGGAAAATCCAACAGGTTACATGAGGGCCAACCATGATGACCATGACCCACGCTACCAGAAGTACCTTGGTGTGACACCAAAGAGATGTGGCGGTGCTGGACAGATGTGGACCAACTGGAACAACCTCTGGTACCACCACTGGAACTGATAGGAGGGCTGAGAAAATATTGCCTAGGAACCTCTGGGCTGCGGCGCTGGTCTTTCTGGGTGGCACCGGTGGAAGTCCTCTATCAGTGCAGGATGGAGAATATCCTTCTATAAGTCAGCTATGTTGCTCCAGGCCATAACCCTTCCAATTGACCAGATATTGCAGGGTGCCCCCTCTTTGTCTAAAATCCAGTAACCGCCGTACAGCATAGATCGGGCTGCCCTTGGCACCGACCGGAGGAGGCAGCATGATGTCACATGGCAAATCCTCGTTTGATGGACTTGGATCACAGGCTTGAGAAGAGACATTCTGAAGGCATTAGACACACAATACTGAACAGGCAGCTCAAGTTTTTAAGTAAACTCTTTAATTATTTTGCTGACTTTGAATGGACCAATATACTTTGGTTGTAACTTCCTACTCCCCTCAGGAAACCTGAAATACCTGGTTGAGAGCCATACCCGGTCTCCAGGGAGAAAGATAGACGTGTCACGCCTACGTCTGTCAGCCTGATGTTTCTGTTTGTAAAGGACATTTTCAATATGTTAATGTGTCTCCTCCCAGACCTGTTCAGTCCTTGGATGGAACCCCTTATGGAATAGCTGTCCACGGCATGAGAGGAGGTTAATAACCTAAGAAACACTGGGTGTCAGGCATGTAGTGGAGGTTACTAGGGAGTTCTGTGCCATCCCTGCCCATGGTAAGTATCTGGCCCAATCTGGTTGTTATGACAAGAAGTTCTGAGAAATTTATTCAACTCTTGATTCATTCTCTCACACTGCTCACTGAGCATTGTGAGAGAATGAATCAAGAGTTGAATCATTGGAGGTGACCTGATGTGAGACTTACGGGGACTCCAAGACATTCAAAAAATGCTGTCCAGACTTGGGAGATGAACTGGGGACCCCTATCAGAAATAGGTTTTACCTGGGAGACATTGGTCTGGAATGAGATTACTGGCTGTTAAATCCTCTATTTCGTCATCAATCTCCCATCTAATGGAAGCAAGTATAACAGACAGAGGTAAAATACTGTCAGGTTCCTGGTGGCTAGGCTCTGTATATAAGCAAGACAAGGCATCAGCTTAGGTATTCCTAGACCTTGAACAATATGTGATGGTAAATTGGTAATTGGAAAAGAATAATGACCACCAAGCCTGATGTGGGTTGAGCGCAAGCACTCCAAATTCTTGTGGTCAGTATAGACCTGGAAAGGATGAACAGCACCCTCTAACCAGAGGCACCACTCCTTGAAAGCTAGCTTGATAACCAACAACTCTGTCACCAATACCCTAGTTTCTTTCTGCTAGAGTAAGTTTGTGAAAATAGAAGGCTATTGGGTGTAACTTTCGAGGAGTGCCTGCATGCTGGGACAGCACTGCACCAATGCCCACCTCAGAAGCATTGACCTCAACTATAAAGGGCTGAGAGGGATCAGGATGTTTCAAGACTGGGGCAGATGTGAAAGCCTCCTTCAGGGCAGTGAATGCCTGGGGTATCCAAACTTTTTTCTTAGCATTGCCTTTTAGCAGAGCAGTAAGGGGTGCTGCAATGCTGCTGTAATTGTGGCCTATAGAAATGAGAAAATCCCAGAAATCTTTGGAGTTCCTTTACTGAAGTGGGTATTGGCCAGTTAAGACTAGCTTTAGTCTTATAGTCATTCACAACAACCCCAGGAATATATCCCAAAAAGGAGATGGAGGAGGAATGAAACTCACACTTTTCACCCTTTACATGTAACTGATTCTCAAGTAGAGTGGTCAAAACTGAGCGAACATGTACATGAGTAGTTAAGTCAGGACAATAAATCGGAATGTCAATGTAAGCGATTGCAAAATGACCCAACATCTCCCTAAGAACATCATTAAAGAATGCTTGAAAAACAGAAGGAGCATTACATTTACCAAATGGCATGACAGAGTACTCATAGTGCCCTCTAGTGGTGAGGAATGCTGTTTTCCATTCACCCCCTGCTTGATTCTACCTAGATTATAGGCACTCTTGAGGTCAAATTTGGTAAACATAGAAGTGCCTTGTAGTTGTTCCAAGATTACTGGGACTAACGGTAGATAATTTGGGTATGGTTTCATAATGGAATTTTAAACCACGATAGTCTATACACAGTCTTAACCCACCATCCTTTCTTTTGACAAAAAATCCAGGGGCAGCTGGAGAAGTAGAGGGGCAGATAAAACCTTGTTCAAGAGCCTCTTTAACATCTTCTTCCATGGCCAACTCCTCTGCCTGGGTAACAGGGTAAATTGTAGAAATGTTCAGTACAAAGAAGCTAGTCTCCTCACTGTGAAGGGTGCTGGTGGACATACAGATGGTTTGGTTACTTGAGTGATAAGTCCTTCTCCAACAATTTGAAGGTCCCTCAGGATCTGCGCATGAATGAAGTTCCCCTCAGCTCCTGAGTCGATCAAAGCTGAAAACACAAAAGTAATTTAAATGGCATTGAAACCAACCTTGTTGTAGTAATACCCACCATGTTAGCATGTAGGGGCCGAGGCTGGCGCCTGAGGTCTGCGAGGCAAGTAACCAGTGATGCCTTTCTTCTTTGGAGAGGGAGGACACATCCAATTGCATGGGTTTGGGAAACTCATGATCACTGAGTTCTTCAGGTGTCATTTGAAGGCAGACTTGTGGAGTACTTAATGACACTTGACTGGTCCTGTGGGTGTTGACCAGATTTAAGCTGATCCAGGCATATAGCTAAAGCTACAAGTTCCTCCACTGATAGTCCATCATCTTTGCAGGCTATTTCTGCAAGTATATTTGAATGAAAACCATTACGGAAAATAACTAGTAGGGCAGGTTTCATTCCATCAGCTGCCAGCGGCCAACAATCAAGAGCATAATCGGAAACAAAGCATCTACACGCACGGCAGTGGCCCAGTCTAAGGCTTTACCAGTGAGCTGTGAGATGACAAAGGAGATATGTGATTTAGCAGAAATGGGTGGATAGATGACAAAATAAATGGAACGTTGTAGCAAAAAACTCAACTTAAATTGGGCGTGCCATCAAACTTATCTGGTTTACTCACTCTGGTTTCTTTTGCACATGTATGCTGTGCAGGGTTACTGATTGAATGACAGAAGAAACTGGAGTACAAGGAGTGCTCAGTTGGCTCATCAGGTCTCTCAAACATAAGGCAACCTGAGGTTGTTGTTTTTGCTGCTCATTCTGTTTCTGAGTTAGCATTCCAAAAATTTCATAGAGTCACAGTTTAAAAAAAAATGGTGGTGTTGGCTGAGGATCTGCCCTTGTCTACTCACAGCATCCTGAAACTCCTGATATTCCGCCGTCTGCATTGTGGCAAGGTATTCTGTCACATCATCAGATGAACTAGATGCTTGCGGAAGTAAAATTATGGAGCTTTATTGATAATAGGGTGAAGCAAGGGATGATTTATCCCCCACAACAAACGTCAAAGCCCATTAAGCACGCATCATATCTAAATAATGCACCAATAAAAAAAGTCAGCTTGAAATGGTAATTAGTAGCTGTCAATGGTCCGCCCCCCGGCAGCGCACACCCAGCCTTAAGTATTAACCCTTGCGACTTAATTAGCATTAGATTTAGCATCAACTTTAACATTAGCCTTAGCATCTAGCATTTGCAGTAATGTTATCCTTATTGATGATTTAGCCATGAGCATTAGCAAATTTAGCCATTAGCATTTGCCCAACATCAGCATTAAGCATAGGCCTTGTTTCAGGCCTTCTTAATTACACTTATTAAGCAAGCAAGCAAGCAAAGTTTATTTATATAGCGCTTTTTACAACAGGTGTTGTCACAAAGCAGCTTTACAAGGAAATCAGCATTACAGAAAGAAATCCAGGTCCAAGCCCCCATGAACGTCGCCAGTGGCGACAGTGGCAAGGAAAAACTCCCTAAGAGAAACAGGAAGAAACCTTGAGAGGAACCAAGACTCAGAAGATTAGTTCAAACGATTCATTTTGATTAGTTCATGTAGCAACAGCAGTAGCATCAGTGGGGTCAGGTTGTGAGGGTGAGGTTGTACAACAGGAGGCTCAATAGTGGTAAGCCGGTCCAGAGGGCTGGCGAGCAGTGGCACCCGATCAAGGCAGAAGAAGCAGCAGCATCAGATGCACAGGATGGGCAGCTGTTCAACTCGACAAAGAAAAGAAAGGAAAAACACACAGAGAGTCAGTTCTGTAATGGGTGACTGATCACAGATTACAGTGTTAGCAGAGCAGCAGAGACTCTGGCAGGTATAGAACTGACAGGGAAAACTAATTACCAAAGGCTTGACTATACAAGTAAGTTTTTAGCCTAGACTTAAACACTGAGGCTGTGTCTGAATCCCAAACATTAACAGGCAGACTATTCCAAAGTTGGGGGGCTTTGTATGAGAAGGCTCTCCCCCCTGATGTAACTTTATTTATTCTAGGTACTAATAGTGAGCAGCAACTTGTGATCTAAGTAGGCGTGATGGTTCATAGTGAGAGAGAAGTTCACTCAGGTACTGATCGGCGAGTCCGTTTAGTGCTTTATAAGTCAGTAAGAGAATTTTGTAATCAATATGAAATTTAACTGGTAACCAGTGTAAGGTTGATAAAACTGGGCTGATATGGTCAAACTTTCTGGTTCTAGTAAGAACTCTGGCTGCAGCGTTCTGGACTAGCTGAAGCTTGTTTAAGGCTTTTGCTGGAACATCCAGCCAGCAGGGCATTACAGTAATCTAGCCTTGAAGTAATAAATGCATGAACTAACTTTTCTGCATCCTGTAGAGATAATGCATTTCTCAATTTAGCAATATTGCGGAGATGCAGGAAGGCTGTTCTAGTAATATTAGTTATGTGTGCGTCGAAGGACAGATCAGGGTCTATAATGACACCCAGGCTTTTTACAGATGAGCCAGACGCAACTGTGAAATTGTTAAGTTTAAATGTTAAATTAGACAGTTTGTTTCTAGCTGCTTTTGGACCAAGAAGTAGAACCTCTGTTTTATCTGAGTTAAGAAGGAGAAAGTTACTCGACATCCAGTCTTTTATGTCTTTTATACAGTCCTCAATCTTGCTAAGTTTAATTTTATCATCCGGGTCACCGAGTGTCATCGGCATAGCAGTGGAAATTCATGCCGTGTTTACTGATACTGATTAATTAAATGTAATTAAATTTCCATTATTCTGTTAAAAAGTTACAGAAAACACAAATTCTATATAATATCTGTACCACCAATAAGACTCCTGGGAACTGGCCATGAGAAGAACATTGAATAAAATATGTCCATTCGGGGGAAAAGGGGAAAGAATCCACTGAAAAGGCACAAAATCTATTTTTGGTTCTCTCACACACAACCGGACTGAGGTGATCTCTGTGAAAGCAAATTGTGTGGTTAGTAAGCTAACACTGGGCCAGTTTAAGTCTAAGCTTAGTTCATATCAGCATAGTGCTATTCAACTTTTGGTTTGGCCTGGGAGTTTTCAAATATTATAGTGGGTACTGCTGTCGCCTCACAGCAAAAAGGGCCTGGGTTCAATTCCCCGGCCGGACGACCAGAGTCCATTCTGTGTGGAGTTTGCATGTTCTCCCTGTCTCTGTGTGGGTTTCCGCCCACAGTCAGAACACATGCAGTCAGGAGAATTGGAGATATTAAATATCCCCTAGGTGTGATTGTGTGTGTACGTCTATTTGTCTGTCCGTCTGCCCTGTGAGGGACCGCCGACCTGTCCAGGGTGTTTCCTACCTTCCGCCCAGTGACCACTGGGATGGGCACCAGCTCCCATAGCGAATCAGAAAGATAAGCAGTTTAGAATGTGTGTGTGTGAAAACTCACAGTAACTGAAGACTCTGACAAGTTGGTTGGATTCATTTAATATGAAAGGCACATAAAACAAAGTTTTAACAGGTGCTGTAGTGAAGGAACATTACAGTCATTTCATGTTTACAATAGCAAAAGTTTCCATACAAAGGAGTTTTTACAAAAAAACATGCTAACACTTCAAATAGTTTGGTGATGCAGGCTATGGAAATGGAATTTATCAGTAATATTTTGTAAAAATCAGCTTTCGTGGAAAAAAAATATTTATTGATGCCTAAAATGTCACAGAAACCTAATGTGATTTAAAAAAACAATATGCATTTGCACATGAATTTAGTGTGATGCAACAGAATCCCCTAAAGTGCCTCTTATAACAAATAAACACAGTGTGGTGGAGAGGTAGAGCTGGACTGAGAGAGTTTTTAAAAGGAAAGCGGCCACTTTTGAGCTTCCACAGAAAGAGACAAGCAGGAAAGACCACAGCCCTTCTGAAAGAGCTCAAACAGCTCTACATGTGAGTGATTTCTCGCATAGTGATTTAAAAACAAAAATATCCTTATCAACAGGTTATGGGAAAATCAGAGATGTCAAATGTACATCAGAGATAGAAACATGTCAACCACCACCATTACCATCATTATGCAAAACATTTTATCTCAAAAAGTCTGTTTGATGGGAATAATCAGCTGGGCAGCAAGGGATTTGATTTTATTGCTTGCAATTTATGCAAAAAAATTCTAGCTACTCAGAGCAGTAGGAGTGGATCAGATATAATTTGATATTTGGAGAGTTTATTGTCGCAAAAAGTTCCCTCACAGAAAGCTATTGGATCAAAAGTTTATGGATTTGCTGCCTGACGTCATGAGACTTCAGATAAGATTATAACATGTTTGAAACCCATTCCTGGTGGAGAGATACATGACGTTACAAGGCAAAGTAGTCCCCAAAGAAAACCTATGTTTTCAGATTTGTCACTATATTACATAAAAACGTATAGGTTCACTGGTGGTTTTGGACAGTAAATAAAATGTCTATATTTGTGTTGTAGTCATGGCGACCTCTGGTTCCTATCACCACCAATGTAAAGACATTTCAGTCTCTACAATCAAATAATTCACACCAAACCCACTCTGAATCACTCAATTTACATCTGAACAATTGGACAAATGATTGTTTTGAAATACAGAAATATTTTATATGAACAAATTATTAAGATAAACAGGAGAATTATTACCACGGACATACCAACAGATGGTAATGATAAGAAGTAATGAGGGGGATAAATCAGTACTCTTGGGCAGGACATCTGGTGGTGAGTGGTGGAATCAATATTGTACACACATGACTGACACATTGACAAATACACTGTTAGTTTCTACACTGCATCAGCTCTGTAGTGCTTAATCACAGCCCTTAAAAAGGCTGTAAACTTATTAAACAGATGAATTTATGAAATTCCTATAGTCACTGTTTTATTGTGAAGTGTGAAGGGAAAGACAGAATCTTCATTGAATTCACAGAGTTTGTGCTGTTATTATAAAAGCACGGATACATTTTCTTTGTGAATCTGTGTTTAAAGGTGTATAAAACTTTGTTCTTATCTTTCGAGAAGAAAATCACCTGACCTTTCTCCCAATTTAATGTCACTCGGATTGTCTTGATGGTTTCTTCCTTTGCAACTTTGACATTAGAATTAATGCCAGTTCCAGCATAAATTGTATTTTCTACCCTCCATATGCAACAAAACCCATTTTCTGGGGCTGCCACACAAATTTCTTTTCTGCTGACGGACTCTTCAGCCACTCCTATAACCCAGTCTTCACCATATCCAACCTCCACCTCCCAGCTGTGAGTTCCTGAGGAGAACCCTTCAGAACCGAGAACGCCGCTATACATACTCATCCTCTCTGGGTTGTCTGGAAGTTGGGTGAGAGGTGAGGGTGAGACGCTGCTCAGATCCGCTGATATACTGAGGGAGGAGTTTGCAGTGTTTGGATCCAGAATCACTGGAACTGCGGAAGAGGAAAAGAGTTTTATGTTGGACATCATCTTTGTATCATTCCAACATTATGTAATGTAATTCACACTTACAACTGCATTTAATCTTCAACCCTAAATAAGAAAAGGTTGGGACAGTATGTTAAAAATTAAAACTGAAAACAAATTATTTTGGACCTGTATTACACTGAAAACAATACAACAGCAAATCTGCTGTTTTATTGAATTGAACTTTATCGTTTGTTCAAACTAAACAGCAATTTTAATTTTCAATCTTGTAACATATTTCAAACAAAGTGGGGAGAGTAAAGCAGTTCCCACTTTGTAATGTTGTCCATCTTTGTCACAATAATCAAAAGATGTTTAGGGACTGACGACACTGAGTGATGAAGCGCTTAAGGTGTTCAACAGTACAAGGTCTTCATTGTCACATTTTGCATTTTAAAATGGGCCACTCATTCTCTGTTGAGGACAGGTCATGACTGTAGGCAGGCCAGTCCAGTGAATCCACCCTCTTCTTCTATAGCTGTGCCCTCGTAATGTGTGCAGAATGTGGTTTTGCATTGTCTTGTTGAAATGCATGGACAAGATCATCAAGATGTCGTCTTGAAGGCAGCATATGTTGCTCCAAAATCTCTTTGTACTTTTTGGCATTAATGGTGCCATTGCAGAGGTGTAAGTTACCTTTGCCAAGGGCATTGAAACACCCTCACATCATGACAGACCCTGACTTTTGGACTTCTTGCTGAAGGACTAGGCCTTTCCTGGAAGCTGGTTTTGTACCAAATCAAGATTACAATCACCTGTTGGCATCGCCTGTTTTATATCACATCATTATTTATTTTACCTCATTACTAGTCCTAAGTTGCCCCATCCCAACCTTTATTGGAATGTGTTGCAGGCCTGAAAGGCAGGAATGGATGTACTTTTACAAATGAAACCTAATTAAAAGTAATATTATGCTGATGCCTCTGTGTGATTACGTTGCATTCACCGAACAAAGCCGCATTAACCCACTAGGGTTAAACAGGCCCTGCAGCCCAGGTACCTGGCCATCTTGTGTCCCTGTGAGCCTGACTGTAAATACAGTAATAAATACAGCAGCAACAGAGTGCAGCAACTCAAAGTCCACATGTGGACAGAAGACATCTGGAGGGATGTTGAGTCATGCCATCTGGATAGCCACCCACAGCACTGTGGTCTTTGTAGGAGCAGGATCTCTGGTGGGAATGGACCTCTCCACCTCTTCCCATAAATGCTCGATTGGGGCGAAGATGCAGGCCATCAATCGTTGGAACTGTCCAGAATGCTTCTCAAACCAGTTCTGGACAACTTTGGCCCAATGGCACAGAGCATTATCCTGTTGGAATATCCCATCATTGTGGGAGTACATGAACTTCACGAAGGGCTGCAAAAGATCACCGAGCAGTGAAAAGTTCAATGACATGTTCAGGCTGACCAGTGGGCTTAAACTGTGCCATGAGAACACATCGCACACCAGTATGGAACCACCACCAGTCTTCACAGTACCTTATTGACAACTGGGGTCCATGATTTCATAGGGTCTGCGCCACACACAAACTCTACCATCAGCCCAAAATAATTGGTATCATGACTCATCGGTCCACGCCACACGTTGCTAGTCCTCTAGGGTCCAGTTGCAAACTCACAAGCGCAGGTGAGGTGCTGTGTCTGGTGTTGTGATGTTAACAGAGGCACTCTGGTGGGTCTTCTGCTCCAATATTCCATGGAAACAAAGAACGCTGCAGTGACCTGCAGGATAAGCGTGTGGGGCCTCCTTCAATGAATGTGGATATGATTTCTACCAGAGTCGCTTGTCTGTTCTCATAGACAATTCTAGCCAGATACCGCTGGTCGCGATCATTAAGCACCCATGGGCAGCCAATGCTCTGTCCACTGTAGGTGGTAATGTTTGAACTCAGATAATTCATGTCACCTTGCCATGACCACACTGGCCAGTTTTCAGACTCAATAATAACACCTCACAACTTATACAGGTGTAGGCATTCCCAGGCCATCCCCTGAGGTAACACCACTTCATAATCAATTTACATACTGCTATCCCATGACTTCTGCCATGTCAGTTCATGCTCTACTAAGTACCTGAGCTGCTGCATTTTGGACATGTTGCAGCCATGTCATAGCTCTTTGACTAAGACATGTAAATAAGGCCTGCAGTAATTAAGACGTGATGGAATAAAAGCGTGAATAGTTTGCTCTGTATCCTGAATGGAAAGCATTTTCTGACTTTAGCAATATTTTTCAATTGAAAGTAACAAGCCTATACCAGCTTCGTTATATGCATTGAGAAATTTAATTCTGAATAAAAAATGACATGGAAATTTCCAGGATAAGGATTTGTCCTTATGGCCTATGAACCAAGCTCCTTCTTTAAATCACTGGCAATATTTTGTGGTTCCAGAACTAGTACTTCTGTGAAATATGCCTCCCTCATAGGAGTCAGAGTAGAATAATAATAAGTTTAAATGAAGAACAGTAAGGCTGACTACACATGAAGAAACTTACACTTGCTTACAAATTTATTTGCTTGAAATCTACATGTAATTCTCTCAGAAGGTGAAGGAGGCTGTCAAGCTAAAGAAAGAGGCCTTTAGGGACTGGATGGCCCGGACAATTCCCGACTCAGCAGATAGGTACCAACAGGCAAAAAAGACGACAGTGGTAATGGTGGCAGAACAAAATCCAGAGCATGGGAGGACTTCTGTGAGGCCATGGAAAAAGACTTTCGGTCGGCATCGAGGAGGTTCTGGACAAGGAGGAGCTGTCAGCATGGCTTTGCCCAAGCTGTATTCGGCAGGGGTGGAGAAACTCTGACTTTAAATCAGGATATTGTCGGTTGGTGGAAGGAGCACTTTGAGGAACTCCTTAATCCAAGAAATATGCCTCCCTCATAGGAGTCAGGGCCAGAGGCTCCTGGCATGTGAAGCTCCTTTTCCCTGGTGGAGGTTACTCAGGTAGTTGGCCAGCTCTTCAGTGGCAAGGCACCAGGGGGGGATGAGATTCGCCCGGAAATGCTTAAGGCTCTGGATGTTGTGGGGCTGTCGTGGCTGACATGTATCTAGAGTTCCATGTGTTATCTGACTTTGCAGGTTTGGAATGTTTAAGTTAGGGGGCCCCTGGTCCAAAGGTCCAAGGGTCGAGGCCCCATAGGGAATGGACCCCTTTCTCTTCCTCTCCCTTCTTCTCTTAGTCCAGATGGATGAGATTATTTTAAAAAGGACCATATGTTTCGTTCGACAACAACCACCCTATATAAGCAGTAGGCTATACTGTTCTGGAGGGGACACTTCAGAATGGGCACGGATCCCCTCTGAGGTACTTTATGGTGCTTAATATGATACTCTTTTACTTTGTAATAAACATCTTATACAAGCAAGACGGTGTCAGCGGAGACTTCTTCATCATCTTCACATCATCGCTATTTAATAAACAACAGATGCAAGTGTGTGATACTCACAGTAAGGACAGAGGTCCTTCAACCTCCTCAACACTTGGAATCTCAAATTCCCCAGGTGTTTGGCCACATCAATCAGAGCTCCTGAGTCCAGTTCTGGGTCCAGTCTTGTGTACTGAGCTCTGAAAACACACACACACACACACACACACACACACACACACAATTAGTTTTTCTGCCTTTTTTAACACCCACCCAAAATAAACTAGTATATAGTAATATTTACCTTTCATACATTGTCTGGATGCCCTGTAAAGAAGGTCATAAAGTGTTTACTATTTAAGTTATTCATATTCATAACCGCTGTTATGATTGTTTTTTTTACCTGCAGAACCACTTCATCATCCTTCAGCCTCTCATTTGACTCTACAATTCTAGCACTGATATCTTTTATCTGACTGTCCAGGTCTTCAATCTTCTTCTTCATTCTGTGGCTCTTCTCCATCTCCTCATTTCTCAGAGCAGTGATCCTGGCCTCCTCCTCTTCTCTGAGGAACTGGTGAAGCTTCCCAAACTCCTCCTTTATCTGCCTCTCTGTGTTCTGGGCCTGAGACTGAGAGCAGAACAATAGTTCTGTTAGTTTTTAGTTGTTTTCAGGCTTAAAGCAGCTGGTTTCATGTAAAGGCTGCTATTAACGACTCACCACAATGTGTGCAGCCACCTGGTCACTGATGATTTTCACTCTGTGGAAAATCTGAAGCTTCTTCTTCAGCTCTGTTAGACAAGTCTGTATCTGTTCCTAACAAGACACATATTATTAAACAGCTACAATAACACTGCAGGAAACTATGAAAACAGAAATAAAGAAAGAAAAAGAATCAGTTTGTCAGAAGTAGCACAAATATTACTGCAAGCAAAACTAGTCAAATAATGACCTGTGAATTTTTGTCAGATAACCAGATATTCAGGACACACAGCATAAAATCAAGTTGTGATGAAAAAAAAGTAAAGCATTTTTTAATTAGTTGTTTTTTGCTTGTGAGAGTATTTTACATCAGCTTTTACCACAGTAAAGGTTTGACTTGTTGGTTTTATATAATGGCACTGACAATCAGTATATAATTAGATTTGTGCTTTTTATTCTTCATATTCAGTGTCAAATTTATTTATTTGCACATTTATCTTGTGCGATATGAAAAACCATTGTGATTTTGTCTTTTTAAAATTGGGTGTAGAAAAATGTTTAAACTATTACTACAATGGAAGAATACACTATTAATAATATTTCACAAAGAAACAAATTAATTCTATGTTCAGGCTTTTTCTTGAGAAAGTCTGTGGCTCTGTTTACCTTGACTAGAATTATCTGAACCACAAGACCACCTTTTTATTTGAGATATACTTTTACAGCCCTTGATCATACATGACATGCATTTTTATAATCTTAGTTTATAGGTAATATCTCAAAATGGGGGCAGACGTTTTACTTCTTTATTGTTATAATTAGACAGTTTAACATGCCATTTTTTTTAGATATGTACAGATATTATTTTGTGCACAGGGATCTTTAGAATCTGTGGAAGTTGTATGTATTTTTAAATATTTTCTTTCTTTTTTTTCAACATTTCTGCATAAATAAATCCTCAAGACGGAAACAAAGTAATTTAAAATTGTTCACAGTGGTAGTGATAGGAACCAGACGTCTAAAGCGAGCAACGCCTCTGAAAGCTCCATCACAGAACGTTATTATATGAAATAAATAAATAAATGACCAATAAATAAATGACCAACTCTAATATTTTTGTCTCATTTGTTTACTTTTGGTTCTCTTTATTTATTATTAGGACTTCTGCGAAAATCTGAAGAGGTTTTAGGTCAAACTCATGCAGAAATATAGGTCATTCTGAAAGGTTTACAAACTTTCAAGCACCACTGTATACGTTTTTTTATGTGTTTGTGTTTTTAAATGTATTCTTGTAGTTAAGTAGTACACGTGGGCCACACACCGATGATTTTAACTCCCCTTCACACCTGTATAAATGTGATGTGACAATAAACATGATTTGTTTTAATTTGAAATACAGCGTATTAAGAGGGAAAGTAGGCCCCAAAGAAAGCTTCAGATTTTCCACAATTTTACCATCATCAACATAATATATTAAACCTCAGTAGACTTGTGTAGGTTCACTGGTGGTTTTGCATAGTAAATAAAATGGCTACATTTGTGCTGTAGTCATGGCGACCCCTGGTTCCTATCACCTCCACTGTAAAGACATCTGAACCATTTCACACCAAATCACTCTGTTTACATCTCAAACACTGAATTATAGAGGAATTTTGAAAACCATTGCATGCTGCATGCAGCAGGGGCAGCATTTTAGAATGAAGTATGTCTCTGAGAAAATGTTTTGACTGCGTCATACTCTACTGAGATACAGCTACAGTCAGAAATTCTCCTTCATTCAGAAATATCAAATATGAAATATATATCAAAAAATGAAATGAACCTCATTCTCTCCTACCTTGTGTAGACCAGCAGCTTTGCTGATGGAGCAGAAACTGTGACTCTGGTGATCCTGAGACACACACTGTCCACACACCAGCTTCTGATCATCCACACAGAACAGACTGAGCTTCTCAGAGTGCAGAGAGCACAGCAGACCCTGAGAACCTGAATCACTGCTTCTCTTCTGCTGCTTGTAGGACTCACAGGCTTTCCTCAGAGCCAGATCTGGAGGAGGATGAGTTTTTGATGACCATCTCCTGCAGACAGGACACTCTCTTCCTGAACTCTTTGTCCAGTTCTGCTGTAAACATGTTCTACAGAAACTGTGACCGCAGGACAGAAACACTGGGTCGGTAAAGATAAAAAAACACACAGGACACAAGAGATCCTGTTCGAGTGGTGAGAGGGAGGACGCCATCGCTGAAATTCAGCTGGAGTAGCACCTGGAGAGCTGTGTGTGAACTCTGTACGAGGGCATGTCAGCTGACTGTTCAAAGGTACAAATCCAAGAACCCAAAATCTTATTTAAATCTGTCTGGATTAAGTATTATGAAGAATAGTAAAAGCTAAATCATACAGTTGTAAAATGTTATGCACGAAAAAAAATCTATAACACAAAATCATGTTTTACTTAAAAAAACTCCCAGTAATAAAAATGTGCTCATATCTGTTGGTTAATGTTCACAGATGCACTGGATTACAGCCAGTCAATACCACTTCATGGAAGCATTATGGATAAACTAGTCAAAAAGGTTAAAGGTCACTTATTAAAGATAATTTAATATATGATGTGAACAGTCTGAAGTTTACATGGAAAGAAACATTTCTTTCTTTAACAACGTCTTCTATTAAAACAAAGCATGCATTTTTTTCTTGTTTGTGTGCAGGAAGTTGCTCAGTAGGAGAAAAGTTAATTATTACAACAAATGGACTTTGTATCAGAATTTGCAATGCATTTTCACTGAGCACTGTCAAAATATGTGTAATCCAGTACTCCTCCTACTAGAGCATATTGGTAATACTGTGGCGTCCACGTAAAAGAAGACGTGGGAGAAGCCGGTATTTCTGCCATGAGAAGTGATCTTTTACTTACTCCAGCAGAAAACCACATGAACGCAGCTGCTTTAGTGGGAAAGACTACCTTTCACCATTCTCTTTACGGTGAACCACACAGCAAAACCCAAAAAGCACATAAACACACTTTGAACTAAACCACAACGTTTAATATCACTTTTACAAGGGAGTTTAGTAATCTAAGAAACACTGGAAGAGTGTCAGATCTTTAGTGGAGCTTACACAGGAGTTCTGTGCCATCTCTGCCCATGGTTAGTATCTGGCCCAATCTGGTTGTTATGACAAGAAGTTCTGAAAAATTTATTCAACTCTTGATTCATTCTCTTACACTGCTCAATAGATTGGGGGTGATAACCTGATGTGAGACTAACAGAGACTCCAAGACGTTCAAAAAATGCTGTCCAGACTTGGGAGATGAACTAGGCACCCCCATCAGACACAACATCCTCAAAGATGCCAGACAGATGACATGATCAAATAAACATTCTGCAGTTTGAAATGCAGGGGGCTGAGACGAACAAAGGGCTAAATCTAAATCCTCTCGAAAACCTGTCAATGACAGTGAGCATGATGGTTTTATCTTGTGATGGGGGCAAGTCAGTTACAAAATCTATAGCCAAATGTGACTATGGATGAGACTGGACTGGGTGTTTTGGGTGTCTTGCATCAGGACCAGGTTGAATAGGACGCCACAAAATGGTGAATATCTGAAATTATATTTTCCCAGCAATATTTACCTTCCAACAGCTGAAGGGTTTGAGTGTGACCTAAATGGCCTAAATATAAAGATGGGTGAGCCCATGTAATGAGTTTATCTCTGTAGGAGGCTGGCACATAGGTTTTATCAGGGGGACATTGGTCTGGAATGAGATTACTGGTAAATCCTCTATTTCGTCATCAATCTCCCATCTAATGGAAGCAAGTATGACAGATGGAGGTAAAATAATTTCAGGTTCTTGATGGTTAGGCTCTGTATTAGTATATAAACGAGACGAGGCATCAGCTTTGGTATGTCTAGACGCTGGTTGATGTGTGATGTTAAATTGGAAATGGGAAAAGATTAATGACCACCAAGCCTGATGTGGGTTGAGTCTCTTGGCTGAGCACTTCAAATTCTTGTGGTCAGTAAGGACCTGGAAAGGATGAACAGCACCCTCTAACCAGTGGTGCCATTCCTCGAAAGCTAGCTTGATAACCAACAATTCTGTCACCAATACAATAGTGTCTTTCTGCTAGAGTAAGTTTGTGAGAATAGAAGGCTAGTGAGTGTAACTTTGAGGAGTGCCTACATGCTGGGACAGCACTGCACCAATGCCCACCTCAGAAGCATTGACCTCAAGTATAAACGGCTGAGAGGGATCAGGATGTTTCAAGACTGGAGCAGATGCGAAAGCCTCCTGCAGGACAGCGAATGCCTGATCAGCCTGGGGTGTCCAAACTTTTTTCTTAGCATTGCCTTTTAGCAGAGCAGTAAGGAGTGCTGTGATGCTGCTGTAATTGTGAATAAAGGCCTATAGAAATGAGCAAATCCCAGAAATCTTTGGAGTTCCTTTACTGAAGTGGGTATTGGCCAGTTAAGCTTCAATCTTACGGTCATCCATAACAACCCCAGTACTACTGATATATCCCAAAAAGGAGATGGAAGAGGAATGGAACTCACACTTCTCACCCTTTACATGTAACTGATTTTTTAAGTAGCCTGGTGAAAACTAAGCGAACATGTACATGAGTAGTTAAGTCAGGAGAGTAAATCAGAATGTCAATGTAAGCGATTATGAAATGAACCAACATGTCCCTAAGAACATCATTGATGAATGCCTGAAAAACAGATGGTGCATTACATTTACCAAATGGCAGGACAGAGCACTCATAGAGCTCTCTAGTGGTGAGAAATGCTGTTTTCCATTCACCCCCTGCTTGATTCTAACTAGATTATAGGCACTCTTGAGGTCAAATTTGGTAAACATAGAAGTGCCTTGCAGTTGTTCCAAGACTACCGGGACTAACGGTAGATAATTTGGGTATGGTTTCATAATGGAATTCAAACCACGATAGTCTATACACAGTCTTAACCCACCATCCTTCTTTTGACAAAAAATCCAGGGGCAGCTGGAGAAGTGGAGAGGCAGATAAAACCTTGTTCAAGAGCCTCTTTAACATCTTCTTCCATGGCCAACTCCTCTGCCTGAGTAACAGAGTAAATTTTAGAAATGTTCAGTACAAAGAAGCTAGTCTCCTCACTGTGAAGGGCGCTGGTGGACATACAGATGGTTTGGTTAATTGAGTGTTAAGTCCTTCTCCAACTGGATCTCCATCTACTGCAGACAGTCTAAGGTGATGTTTAAGTGTCTCAGTGGAAATTTAAAGGTCCTTCACGATCTGCGCATGAATGAAGTTCCCCTCAGCTCCTGAGTCGATCAAAGCTGAAAACACAGAAGAGGAATTTTGGCAAAACAAAGTTACCGGTAATTTAAATGGCATTGAAACCAACTTTGTTGTGGTAACTCACAACTTTAGCATGTGGAGGGCTGAAGCTGTTGCCTGAGGTCTGCATGGGCAGATCCGGCAGTCTCATAGAACATGACCAGCTACACTGTAGTACAAGCACAGACCCCCATGTAACTAGCGATGCCTTTCTTCTTTGGAGAAGCAGGACACATCCCATTGCATGGGTTTGGGAAACTCATGATCACTGAGTTCTTTGGGTGTCATTTCAATTTCTAGAACTACAAGGTAGACTTGTGGAGTACTTAATGACCCTTGACTGGTCCCGTGAGTGTTGACCAGATTTAAGCTGATCCAGGCATATAGCTAAAGCTACGAGATCCTCCACTGATAGTCCATCATCTCTGCAGGCTATTTCTGCAAGTATATTTGAATGAAAACCATTACGGAAAATAACTAGTAGGGCAGGTTCATTCCATCAGCTGCCAGTCTAAGGCTTTACCAGTGAGCTGTGAGATGACAAAGGAGATACGTGATTTATCAGAAATGGGTGGAGAGATGGCAAAATAAATGGAACGTTGTAGCAAAAAACTCGACATAAATTGGGCGTGCCATCAAACTTACCTAGTTTACTCCGGTTTGTTTTGCTGTGTGGGGTTACTGATTGGATGACAGAAGAAACTGGAGTACTAGGAGTGCTCAGTTGGCTCATCAGGTCTCTCAAACATAATGCAACCTGAGATTGTTGTTTTTGCTGCTCATTCTGTTGCTGAGTTAGCATTCCAAAAAATTCATAGAGTCACAGTTTAAAAAAAAATGGTGGTGTTGGCTGAGGATCTGCCCTTGTTTACTCACAGCATCCTGAAACTCCTGATATTCCGCCATCTGCATTGTGGCAAAGTATTCTGTTACATCATCAGATTAACTAGATGCTTGCGGAAGTAAAATTATGGAGCTTTATTGATAATAGGGTGAAGCAAGGGGGTAGTCAGTAATCCAGGCCAGGTCAGAACCAAGAGAGCAGCAAACAAGTACATTAGGAAACTGAGATCTGAATCCATAAACAAGCAGGGATCAGCAACCAGAGAAACAAACACCAAAACAATCAAAGTTCAAAGGAAAATCTGACAGGGTAAACAAGGGCCAAAGGCATCAAAATCACAGGAGGCAAAAACAAAAAGAGTGCTCAGTACACTATCAACAAGGCAACTGGCAGTACTTCACAAGGAGTGAACAAAATGAGCTGCTATATATACAAACAGAACTAATGAGATCAGGTAAGAGTGATTAGAATTCACGAGAGGAGGATCTGTTATCTGTCCCACACTTTACTAAGTCATGGGCACGGCTTACTTATCTCATTCCCATGCCTTATTAGGTCGTGATCGCACATTATTGTTAGTTATTCAGAATGTCACCAGCAGGGCTCTGTAGGAACTTAAACTTGTTTGAACTTCTCTTTTGGATCCTTTTGGTCTGAACAGACATGCTAAAGCTCAGAGGTGAGAGGTGTCAGCAATGGAGCAACTGCAGGAGGAGTGAATAAAATGACAATAAACCCCAAAAAGGAACAAATTGGAGAGGAAATGCAAAAGACTGATATGGTCCTGATACCGTTTAGCTGATGCTATTGGCTAAGATGACTTACAGTACAAACTACAAAACCATATCAGTAACTGGTGGTACTAAATGGTTAAATCATTCTAAAAGCATTTAAACCTTTCACACGGTCCGTTACTGTGACAGTTATATCATCCACTTTATATGACTGAAAGTTTGACTCAATTGTAATTAAAATGTGTGTCTGCATAAGATGGAAAGAAAGAAAGAAAATAGAAGCAACAAAAGAAAAAAATGAATGAAAGAAAGAAAGGAAGAATCAACAGACGGAGCTAATAAAGAAAATAATAAAGAAAGAATCAGGGAGAAACACAATGAAAGTAAAAAAAACAGAGAAAGAAAAAAAAACAAGAGGAAAGGAGAGAAAAAGAAAGAAAGAAAGAAAGA